GTGGAGTTGTTAGTAGTTGAAGTTTTGATGGGTAGAAATGTAGAATCCTTAACTGCATAGAATTTTGGCACGGAGCTTCGGACCTCCAGGCCACCATCGGAAGGTGGGCAATTGAGGACCGGGGGCTGCGCTAGTACATCCATAACCTCATCATCAACTTGGGTAGAACACGAACACGAACACGAATCTGTCGACCTGGTCAGGAATAGCACGGCTCCCTTATCGCCGGCTGGCGTGTGAGCAAATTCACAATCACCTTGAAGTCGACATCGTCCTATCTCAATAACAATGGCAGCCTCCCTTGCCCGGCTCGCAGGACGACAGTCCGCAAAACGCCTATGTCTACGCCCCTCAGTCTCATCATCGCTTCGCCCTCGATTTACGCGATGTATTGCTACATCCCAGAAACAGATGGCAGAGGTGGCAGTAGGCAAGACAACAATTACTCCTACAGACCAATCCTTCACACAGCCAATCGATCAGACGGATCCACAGAAAACCAATCATGTTCCTGATACGGATCCTGGAGACGACTACCAGAGCCGCAAAATCCGCCATTATACCGTGAACTTTGGTCCACAACATCCTGCTGCTCATGGCGTGTTACGGCTAATCCTCGAACTGAACGGGGAGGAGATAGTTCGAGCAGATCCCCACGTTGGTCTGCTGCACCGAGGGACCGAGAAGTTGATCGAGTATAGGACATATCTACAAGCTCTACCATACTTTGATAGGCTAGACTACGTGTCGATGATGACCAACGAGCAATGCTATTCGTTGGCTGTAGAGAAGCTCTTGAACATTGAGATCCCAATGAGAGCAAAATGGATCAGGACATTGTTTGGGGAAATCACAAGGATATTGAACCATTTGATGAGTGTTCTCAGTCACGCAATGGATGTCGGAGCGTTGACACCCTTCCTTTGGGGTTTCGAGGAACGGGAAAAGTTGATGGTATGCGCACGCCTGCTCCCATCAAAGCTTCTAGAAAGTGACTAACGACATGCTAGGAATTTTATGAGCGTGTGTCAGGTGCTCGTCTCCACGCTGCCTACGTTCGGCCTGGTGGTGTGGCACAAGATCTACCCCTCGGTCTTTTGGACGACATTCACCAATGGGCCACCCAGTTTGGTGACCGCATCGATGAGACGGAAGAACTCCTCACCGACAATCGAATTTGGATCGGCAGGACGAAGGGCATAGGAGTTGTCTCAGCTCCAGATGCTCTCAACTACGCCTTCTCTGGCGTCATGCTCCGCGGCTCCGGTGTCCCATGGGACATCCGAAAGTCACAACCTTACGACGCCTACGACCAAGTGGAGTTCGACGTACCTGTCGGCGTCAACGGTGACTGCTATGATAGATACCTGTGCAGGATGGAGGAGTTTAGACAATCGCTCCGCATCATCCATCAATGCCTCAACAAGATTACGCCGGGACCAGTTAAGGTCGAGGATTATAAGATCGCTCCACCACCGCGGGCGGCTATGAAAGAGAACATGGAGGCTCTGATCCATCATTTCCTACTCTTCTCTAAGGGCTATACTGTACCCCCAGGCGAGACATACTCAGCTATCGAGGCACCAAAGGGTGAAATGGGTGTGTACATTGTTTCTGATGGGTCCGAACGACCATATCGATGCAAGATTCGAGCACCTGGGTTTGCGCATCTGGGGTCCATGGATCAGATCAGTCGAGGCCATTTGCTGGCTGATGCTGTCGCCATCATTGGGACTATGGATCTGGTGTTTGGTGAGGTAGATAGATAACGGTGTCCGTGCTCGGTGCGGATGAGATCATAGTGTACATGCTTCTGTCACTCCCGTGTAGGGTCCGAATCTGGGCTCTTATGAAAATATCCTAGTGCACGTTGATGTGTTCTCACAGCGTTAACTGTATTCTCTTAATAGCAGACTCTAATGTTGAGCCTCCTCAGGATATGAAAGAGAGTAACCTTGTTTATGCTATCTCGATGTGGGTGATGTTCCCATAGTGACATTCAAAGAGCTCAACTCAGGGCCCCTTTAATGGCACAATGGCCGCAACCAGGTCCTCTCTCCAACGGAGTCTCATATCAATATACACGTATCATTCTTGCCTTACCTGAGACCCCCGTTTAATCTGGCTCCATACTCAATCCTCTAATCATGTCTTTTTGTAAGAAACGGTGACATAGATTTGCCATCCTTGACTCCTTTAACTAGTGATAATGTATATCAGACAATCTACCCCTCCTTCGCCAGTCTACTATCAAGACAGAATTTTGATAGGGTTTTCGTTGTGAGGAGGACCCCATTTCTCTCAGATAGCTCATACCTCACCTGGCCGATTTGGGCAAGAGGCAGTCTATGCTCATGCCCGGGAGGCCTTTGCCAGGATATGTCGAAGTGTTGTCATTGTAACTCACTCGTTTCGGCCGAGCTCAGTAGAAGCCAGAAAAAGCGGTTGCCGCTCTTGGGTGAGGTGGCCGACACCCAGCTGTGGATGGCGTTGCTCAACATGCCAGTTCACTACCAATTCGCTGCTTGTCACTCTTCTTGCCTTCAATCGGTTGCATGTGAGGTCGGATGTTGCATCATTTTAAACGGTAGATTGGGATAGTAGTAATCAGATGATTGGGCTTGAGAGCCTAAGCCTCCCATTTCTCTTCGATCTTGTCTCGCAATTTTTGAGGGATTCCACCCGTCAGTGATCATTCTTCCGACCTCCAGCATGGAGATCCCTTTGATATATCGTTTTACATGTAAGAGAACGGGGGAATTAGGAATGCTAATCGTGTGTATTGAAGTTGTTGGGAAAGTGTTTGGCAGCATTCAGTCCTGTTCTAGCCGGTGAGCTGAAAGGTACTTCCCTGTTTGAGTGCATGTTGAGGCGTTACCTTCAAGAAATCTGCGAGAGCGTTCAGCAATTTTAAGAAGCATATCCAAGGGCCACTGAATTATGGCTGGGAATCATATCATCTCAACCGTCATGGACTCGCCCTCGTCGAACCAATGTTCCCAACGGTCATCCCTAAAATGATGCGGCTTTGATTTAGCCAGCCCAATGCGTCGATATTTGTTCAATTTTTCAGGCATTGGTTCGATCGCCATAGCCATCCATCCCTGTAGTGATTTTCCTAGAAGCAAGAAAAGTATCGTTTGTTGAGGCATCTTCCCATCTTCCTCTGCGCCGATATAATCAAACTTAGCAAGGGTATTGGCTAGTCCAGGACGATCGGGAAAATACTCCCCAAGCACCAAAAGATCAAGACATCCATAGCAGAGAAAAAGACCCTGTTCTCCTCCAGCCATTAGATTCCGCAGCTTCCGAATTATTCCAGTGCGGACTTTCCCATACACTTTGAGCTGTGCAGAGTGTATCTGCCCGAAAGGATCTGGGCCTTTCAAGTCGACATTGACATCCAGGATGCTAAGATCTGCGCTGCCAAAAGGAGATGTAGTGCTGGAAGCCGCTTGAGTAACTTCCCCATCCTGTGAGGCCCACGACCACGAAGGGGCAAGGAACTCTATGGGCTCAGCTGGAGAAAGATGAGCCCTTCGATATGAAGAGCAATACCATGCCAATCCTCTGGGAAAGTCTTCCTTCCACAGGCCTGCGAAGTAATGATACCCTAACAAATTATGAATCTTGCTGGCCACGCCAGAAAGAGCTGGTAACTTGTCATTGGAAAATGTCAGATTTGTTCCTGAATATGTTGTTACGATGTTGTACCAGTATCTAAGCCACAGGGCCTTGGATTGCCTCCTTTTAAATGATACCTTCTCCACTTCTCCACGACTCCAGAAGTTATCGATGAAGGGAAAGTGCAGATTTTCGTAGCGCACATTGGTAAGGCACTCCCAGTACATCAACTGGCTACCAAAGTACAGGACTCGACGTGAGAGTAACCGTTCTTGAAGGGCCCAGGCACGACTTGACAAAACCGAATTGCTCTCAGGACGTGGCCCCAGTTTAGTCTCTCCCCTCTTGTAACCTCTGTAAAACATATCTATCGAGCCTGTGCCTTTACTAGTCGGTGACTGGTAATCAAAAGTGAACTCTGGGAAAGCTGGTTTAGGTTGCCTGTCGAGAAAGCCAGCATGACAGTGGGGAGCATCAGGTCCAGCAATTGTGACTGTAGAGTTCTCATATGTTTTAGACATCTTGACACACTCCTTTTCCCAATCCCCAGTGGAGTCCTGTATGATACAGAGACTATCAATCCATAAATACCTTATCCCGAGGAAACGAGTCACCGCAACAGCGTCTCGATAGGTTCTTGGCAAACCCGCAAGGGGAATGGATTTTAGATAATTGTTGTAGCATGCTGAAGTCGTCCTTGCCGGATTTGAAGGACCCCAGCAATGACTGAGGGTCACATACGGGGCTTTTTGCCCCGAACATTGTCGCAAGCGAAGCGTTTCATCACCACAATAGCTACCAACATCTATGACACGAGACGGTAGTAGCGATTCATCTTCATGCTTGCAGTCTGGGTGCTTTTCGATACATTCGCGAACCCAGCTGAGTCCTAAATCAAGTTCGACCTTTTGGGAGGTTCTGCGACCAATAATTCGTGAGGTACCTATGGTCGCACTGGCTGATGGGCTGTTAGCGGTGTCCAAATGCGTCCATCGGAACAAATTACATGCCTTCTCGAGCCGAAAGAGAGATGGCTGGGTAAACCCCTCTCGTATAAGGCCTATCATACACACCTCTGCCGTACATTATTCCGATAACGCCTCCTTCACATGGAGCATATCTGGTATCAAGCCAAATGTGACCCGGTTCTATCGTGAACCCGGTACGGTCCTCCCCATAACGCTGGTATTCCAATCGATCTTTTTCTAGGTGAAGTTGCGCGACGTCTTCAACGGGCAACGAGAGGTCCTGCGAATACGTATCTAGTACCGCGGCCTGAGCAACAGTGCAGAAATCGCATCCGTGACTAGCCGCAGAAGCGAGGTCTGAGTAGGTAACATGGTGACCGACGGCCTCGAACGAAGAAAGAATTTCCTCCCAGTGTAGCCCTTCGCAAAGGCTGCAGAGCATAATGGAGTCTTGCGCGCCCACGACGGTATTATATGCATTTAATAATTAGTGAGAATAGGATTCCGCTCATTCACGATCTAGATATTGTGATAGCAGTTCCACAATATCAAGACATCAATCTGCGTCATAGCAGCAGTCTTGTTTGCACGACAAAGAAGGTGGGCAGGGCACAGATTAGCAAAATCGTTGCCGAACTTCATGGTCTCTGCTTACCGTCACAATGCTGCCCAAATCATATTTTAGAGTAACTTGGTGGGCTCCTGGTGGTTGTTTTGGCTCAAGAATCTGTAGTTCGGACTTTTCTCTCTACGGCATCCTAATGACGACCATCTATCTACTCTTGTAATTTGATAAGTACGTTGTTACTAGGACCAACACAGGGAAAGCCTTTGCTAAAATACTGGAGTGTATGTACGAAGCGTTTCAAGGCTATCATGGAGGTTGATTCAACTGTTCTTGCATCCACTTTATGAAGACAAAATCATTTGAAGGTTTGAGCTGAATTTGAGAACGATTTTGATGAGTTACGATGTACTCCGTACTATAGTGTCAGGCGGAAACAATGTCAGGGGCCGACTGGTACCTAGTAAAATTCGGTTACTACTAATGGTTGCTATACGTTGTGGAGCAGAATGTTATGATATGCCAGATGTGATGCTTAGGAGTCTAGGATCAATCCTGCAGAAGATGAAATGTATATACAGAATGTACTCCGTAGTGCCAAGTGCCAAGGCCTCATAACGTCCGATCGGAGATAAATACCGAGGCTAAGCGCAAGTGGGGGAGTTCTTCCGATGCTCCCGCAAGGTTGGAGAAGAGCTTCATGCTGACCTGGAGATATTCTCCTTTTCTGAACGTCTTTTTAATAGTCCCAAATGCTAGGCTCTTCGCCGAAGAGGGCAAAAGTCTAATCGAATGCTGACCATCTAACAAGGCAGGATGGCCGCCCGAAGGGTTGCGACCTGTACAATACCTGCATTGACCTTCCGAGCCTCCATACTTCAATTAGCAACCAGACCATTCAAGATGGCTTCTCGTACCGATGCTCATCGAGTGGCTGTCCGGCGGTTGCACGCGACATCTCAGCAGCTACAAGCTGCAACTTCAACAGCAGCCACATCCGCTCAGGAATATCCCACCACACACGAACAGATCTCTCGGCCGGTAGACACCCAAAATTTCATTGACAACGAATTCATCCCCTCCAAAGCCACGACATGGATTGACCTACACGATCCAGCAACCAATAATCTCGTCACCCGTGTCCCGCAATCCACTACAGAAGAGCTTCAAGTTGCCGTGAAAAGCGCTGAGAAGGCCTTCCCAGCATGGCGGGCAACATCTATCATGGCCAAGCAGCAGATCATGTTCAAATTTACTGGACTTATTCGGGAGCATTGGGACCGGCTTGCCGCTTCTATCACACTCGAGCAAGGGAAAACTTTTGCTGATGCCAAAGGAGATGTGCTGCGTGGGCTGCAGGTTGCGGAAACGGCTTGTGGTATCACAACACAGTTGACAGGCGAAGTTCTGGAGGTTGCGAAGGATATGGAGACCAGATCATACCGAGAACCCCTGGGCGTTGTTGCTGCAATTTGTCCATTCAACTTCCCGGCCATGATCCCGTTGTGGAGTATACCCCTGGCAACCATAACGGGTAACTGCCTCATCTTAAAACCTTCAGAGCGGGATCCTGGCGCCGCCATGATCCTAGCTGAACTCTGCAAAAAGGCAGGTTTCCCAGACGGCGTTGTCAACGTCGTGCATGGGGGTGCCAAGACGGTAGATTTTATCATCGATGACCCTGCCATCAAGGCAATCTCATTTGTGGGCTCAAATCGTGCAGGTGAATATATCTTCTCCCGGGGGTCAGCTCAAGGGAAACGTGTCCAGGCAAATCTGGGCGCCAAAAACCACGCTGCCGTCCTACCAGACTGCAATAAGAATCATGCTTTGAATGCCATTGCTGGAGCTGCTTTCGGTGCAGCGGGCCAGAGGTGTATGGCTCTCAGTACTCTAGTCATGGTTGGTGAGACGAAAGACTGGCTACCTGGGCTTGCTGAAAGAGCAAAAGCGTTAAAGGTTGATGGTGGATTTGAAGAAGGAGCCGACCTTGGTCCTGTCATATCACCCCAAAGCAAGCAGCGAATTGAAAGTCTGATAGCGAGCGCAGAGGAAGAGGGAGCAACGATATTATTGGATGGCAGAGGATATAAACCCGAAAAATACCCCAATGGAAATTGGGTAAGCATTAACATCCACTCCATACTATCTTCTCCTCCCCATCCCTCAATCATACTAACCACACCCCAGATCGCCCCCACAATAATAACCAACGTGCAACCACACATGAAATGCTACACGGAAGAGATCTTCGGCCCCGTCCTCATCGCCCTCAACGTTGACACCATCTCTGCGGCCATCGACCTGATCAACTCGAACCCCTACGGCAACGGTGCCGCCGTCTTTACCCGCTCCGGCAGCACAGCCTCGAAGTTCCAAAAAGACCTCAACGTCGGCCAGTTGGGCATTAACGTCCCCATCCCGGTGCCTCTGCCCATGTTCAGTTTTACGGGGAACAAAAAGAGCGTGGCGGGCGGGGGCGCGAATAACTTCTACGGCAAACCCGGCCTGAATTTTTATACGCAGTGGAAGACAGTGACGAGCCTGTGGAGGGAGGAGGATGCGTTGACGGTGGAGAAGGAGGCCGTTATGCCGACGCATTCGTGAATATTGTTATACGGAGCACACTGTAGGTTTTAAAGTGCTGGTGACTTGGGCCGGCAAAAGGGTAACTAGTTATTGAATATGTGAGACCATCAGGACTCGGATTTACCCTCGTTCACTTCTTCATCTCCATCAAGCCCCATCCTCCCCATCTCCGAAAGCTATTCTCCCAACGGCAGTGCAGCCAGCGGTCCAGCTGTTATCCTCCCTAAAGAGAATTGACCTCTTGACACACCGTCGAATCAACAATCAACAACAGGATCCTCCCCATCCATAGAACCGAATCACGCTCTCCAGAAGACCGTGCAAATATCGGCCATGAAGGACAGCAGCAGCCGAACAAACGTAAAGCAAGGCGGTGGGGAACAGCACGTTCGTATTGGTACTGTGTACCATCTAATGGTCAGATCGAGATGTCCCTCTTCATCTTCCTTCTTCTCTTTTGCTCGCCAGCTGTGTGATCTGCCTTTTCGGATAGGGTGGGCGGATATGAAAGCAATGGAGGACTCTGCATCTCTACGTCGTGCTCTCTGTATTGTGATTCGTATCTCATAATCGTCATTGGGAGGGCGTCTTCCTCTTATTTATGCGCCAGATAGATGGATGGTATCTTTTCGAGCCGAAAGAACAAAAGGAAGAAGCGCGTGACTTTTTCTCCCCCTTTCTTGTCCGATCTCCTGCCGTGGCCTCATCTCAAACCCATTCACCACAAGCCGCAACGCTTCACCAAACACTAAGCCAATCGGCAAGATCTCAATATTCCACCTCAAGCTCCTCCGCCGCCGCCTTTTTACCGTCCTCTGCCTTCTCAGCTTCCATGTCAACCTCCCCTTTGTAGTCATACACCAACCTGGCCCTCTCCACCTTATCCTCTCCCTTCCTGACCACCACTCTCCGGGTGTAATACCTCTTCTGATCAAACATCTCAAACCCCCAAACCTGCTCTGCCGTCCAACCTCCAGCCGCGGTCTCATCCACATTGACGACCCAGCTCTGTACGTGGCGAGCGGAGTTCTCATCGAGCCAGCCCGACGTGGTCGCAGCGGTAGCGGTAGAAGTCGTGCCTTCTCCTTCTTGCTGCGTAGTCTTGTCTCCTTCCGCCCCTTCTGCCTCCGTGCCGGCCGCCTTTTCAGACTCAGTCTTTCCATCCTTATCAACGTCCCCCTTCAAGAACCGTTCATCCACCTCCCCTCCCTTCCCCTCCATCTTGAACCCGTTCTCTCCACCTCCAAACCCCTCAAACATGCGACTCTTCCCCTTCACCTTCCCGAAAATCCGGTCCTCGTGGTCCCTTTCGCTCCAGTCCAACACCCTGTTCTCCTGTGTCGTTGAGATACCTCCGGTAGCGCGCTGGGTGATGTCGATGTGGATTGGTTGCTTGGGTTCTTCGGAAGCAGGCTTTCTGTACTGGTGGACCGAGAGGGTCACGGTAGCGAAAGAGATTGCTTTGCGGAGGAACCAGGACAGGCCTTGCAGGGTTAGGATGGGGTCGATTGGGTCGGAGAGGTTGCGGTTCTGCAAATGCGAGATTCAGTATCAGGTTTGAGGGCATTTATCTCGGCAGTGGAAGAGGTACACTGGAGGCTGGAAGGGTAGTGCTTGTTTGTTGATTGATGAGTAGATTGATGAGTAGATTGATGGGAAGGGAGGGGGTAAAGAAAACTTCTCAAGGAGACAGAGGGTAGACGTTGGGCAGGGCCAATGCACCGAAAGAATAGAGCGTGTTTGATATCAAGTAGCGTACCATGACAAATTTGCCTGAAAGGTCATCAATCGTGACCTTGGGAGGAGCAGCCATGATCCTACTGGAGGACTAGACTGCACAACGACCAATTGGAGTGGTGACTGAAAAGGGCAAGCGAGGTTCGGCTTTGAAAGCAATTGAGAACCAAAGAGTGATTTGCAAAACAGGAAAGAGACACGCAGGAGGATTAGAGCGTCACGAAGCTCGCGCCAGCACTATGGGAAGCTATGAGTGTTCGATACCAGTTCGGGATGGGTAGTTAGGAGGAACACTGGGTCTGGAATAGCTCTAGCTATCTGTGGTTCCAAAGATGAGCTCGACCAGAGAACCCATCAGCCAGCCTCGGTAGATACTGCGTGCGTTCCATACTACTACTACGTAGTAACTACGTAAGTGTTGCGAATCCTTGGCGTTACCCTTGAATTGCTGGCGCTAGCTTGTTGATAGTATTTGAAGAGCTCTTATGAGATCTATCCTAGTGCATCGAAATATAGAATGGCTGCACCAAATGTAGCTGGCATTCTGCTGGTTCTACTGATAGGGATATTAAAAGTTTGGAAGACACCCTGATCGAGTTGAGTTTCTATATGTACAAATTTACAGTCTTGTGCTATCCCTTGTGTCATTGAATGGGCCTTCTTCCATCTTGAGACAAGGCTTTTGTCGGGATCGAACGGCGACCAGGTTTCACATGAGTAAGTCGTCACGCCAATTCTGACATCCATGGTTCGATTCAACAGAACTCGCATCTTTGCATTGCTATATGCCGTGCCCATGGCGCCATGAGGCCGTAAGCAGTGCTTGGGCTATAATAGTTGAGCGGAAACATTACCAAGGTCCATGTCTCAGACAGATTCGCTGTTGGGAAGAATGACAATTGCATGTCACAGTCTCATCTGCCGTAACCATTGGAGGTACCAAGATCAATGATTGCACATTCCCGGTCAGATACATGTCCTTCATATTCGCGCCGACCAAGCCAAGCAAACTTACGTTGGCGAATTTGGGCTGCAAACATATCCAGCGGGCATCAAAGATCGACGCATGACCGTCGATTGATGAATCCTTGATCGATAAGCGTCGGCAGGCACGAGCAACAAGGCCCTTATAACTGGTCCAGTATTGTCGACTTTTGGGTCGATGGACTTTGCTTCACGCTGCGAAAAAATTCTGCGAACACAGGATACGTTACTGCACTTGTGACGAAGGCGTCCGCCCGATGCCCGCAAAGAGGGCGGCGTAGTCCTTTGTGGGCATGACCGCGTTATTGGAGACGTTGGCAAAGGTTTCTACAGGAGCCGGTGCAAGATCCGCGACAAGTAGTATTGAGCTGAATTGAAGCAGTATCCTGAGAATGCCAGAAAGAAGTACCAAGCTGCAGATGGATGAATTTGGTGAGTGCTTCGCCGGTCCAAGGAGGAGCTGCAGTAACTCGAGCGGCCCGGAGTTGCTGTATCGTATGCTTGATAAGTATTCGAAGTATTCTGTGCAGGGCAACACCAGTCTTCATGGTGGCCAAGGCCAGGAGTGATGTGCTCAATGTCGTATGAATGGTCACGACTGTCCTGATAATCACGGCGCTTATCAAGACCGATGTCGTAATCCAGTTGGATAAAGTAATGTGCGACCAATAGGCACCAGTAGATTTTCGAAACCACGGGAAGGCAAGGTAGATGATTACCGCAAGCAGTATGATCAAGCCAATCATTATAGTCGTAACAGTTCTCAAACCCGGGCTCCATTTGACTTGCGATCGACCTTTTCGGACTTCTGTCTGTATTGACATTGAAACACATGGAGGTGGCAAACTGTCAAGTTCTGTCTCGCTATCTCGGAATTGTTCACGGCTTGATGTTGAAGGCACAGCTTTGTAACGAGACAAGAAACGCGCCATATGCAAGGGTACGCTTTAAGCATTGGTTGTCATCCTCTTGAGCCGAGTTGGTGCGAAACCCATGTACAATCATCCACGGACTAAGACGGCTTTTCTTGAGTTCCTCAACATTGGCTCATGTCCTCTGAGATACATGTTAGAGCTTATCAAATTGCATGTGATGCAGAAGTATTATTCAGATCGACTCCTCTTGCAATTTCCTTCCATGCTTGATAATCTCCTCATTATGGAATACCTTTTGCTCATTTCCATGTACTGCCAGGTCAACCATCGTGGCTCCCAGCTCATTGATTCTGATCGATAAAGAGTCACCCAAGAGACATCTTTGGAGGGGAGCTCCGTTCTTGGGCAGCACGGCTCCTGGTTTAACGACGTAAACCGTAAATCCACCCTGGGAGCCGTCTTCTGCGGATTCTAAAACTCTTGCCTCTGCTGCTCCTCTAACGCGACGTCCGTTAGCATAGAACCATAAGGACCGTTCTTTCTAGCCCTCTTTTGGAGGCGGTTCGGTAAAGGCTCCACCCAGTTGGATGTATCGAAAGTGTGTCGACCCGGTAGGCCGTGTCTTGATAGTTTTGATAAATGTGAGAGGATATTCAATGTCAACTCTCTCATCCCATTAAATGTACCCATGCACCAAATGGCGGCATCAGCGGTTTCCAGCTCGTTGATGATAAGTTCATCATATGAGGTAAAGTCTTTCACAATGATCACTTTGACTTTGGGATTCTCAGCCAAATCGCCGGGATCTCGACGAGTCAGAACAAGGACAGAAGTTATGGATGGATGATTGAGGCATTGGGGTAAGAACTTCACCCCCAATGAACCCCGTACTACCAGATAGAACAACTTTCATGTTGGGGACTGAAATAGATGGCAACAAGCTAGTAATTCTTGCTGAAATGAGATGTTTCGTGGGCGGTAGCGTAGGCAACTAGAAAAGATGAAACCGAATTAAATTATACTACGTAGTAAGCTGTGGAGAGGCTACTAACTACTTACTACTAACCTAATGGAACTGCCAAGCCCTCTGGTAACTTCAAATGGTTACTCCGTATCAACCCTCTACTTCCATTACGGCTGAAAGTGGCCCATAGCGAGCACACCTTGGTCAAGACTGGGATAGACTGTATCAATGTATCGATGCATTTGCTCGCGCCTTTGTAACGTGTACATACACTCGACTCATTCAGTACCTGAAGAGCTCCCATCAATCATTTATCCGACGTACTCAACTCTTATTTTGCAGCCTGGACGACCAGCGGGTTCGGACCTGAGTCCCTGCTCTCTGCTCTGCCCACCATCAATGTCTAAGGCAACCAGATCTTAGTAAGGACGGTGACTTCATGTTCTGATCTTGACTCGCTGACGATCTAGTGAACCTCATATTTTTGGTCGTCGTGTAGCGATCGGTCGTCATGTGTGCTACTAGACGTTTGAGTGTCTTTCTCCGTCACCGCCGCTGCGAGCAATGACTTTGACAAAAAATTGGCCAGCCGCGTCACCAGCTTAGCTACGTTGATCAAGGCCAATAAATGGTGCGCATATGCAGTGCTGCGTTGACCAGCTCAGGAGTAACTTTGAGTTGCGTGTAGATCAAAGAGTTGTCATAACATCCCGTACCATGATCAGGGTCCTGGCGAGGGCGGAGAATTGTTCCTGCTGTTGATTTGCCATGAGGATACCTGTTTCAAAGTCCGAGTCACAGTTATCTTGATCCGGCACAAGCCGCTGTTGCCCTTTTGAAGCTGTGGTAATTGGCTCTGCTGTTGAGGCTCTGCTTACACGACCTTTTCTTCCAAGACTCAGCCACAGATATCCTAATCTAGTGTAGATTTCTATCACCTAGATGATAGTGTAAAATAAAGACTTTCATACCGGCCGCCTCCAAGGAAAGGCCATACGAGGAGCGAACGGATATGAGGGGATGGACAAGTAGTGACTGTCGTTGTGTAGCAAACAAGAAATGACTCTTTGATTCGGCGAGGAATATCGGCTGGAGAAGAATGATAAAAGACTGTACCGTTGATGTAGGCATTGGTAGAGTGAATTATGGGTCAGCCAGTTTGCCATTGCGTTTTATTGCCTTTCGCGTCACCATTTTGTGCAGCATCTCTTGTTAAATGAGTTGAATCATATTAGCGTATTCCTGTTCCTCATCCAGCAGATGTCGATCGAAACTGCCTGTCAAGACTCAGCCTTGCCTTTATCCTTGGGTTGAGCAGGCCCTTCGGCATCCATATCGGCCATGAATCTCTCCCAGGTGTCAATGACCCTTCTATAGAAATCCGCATTATTGGTCGCAAAGGTGCCCAAAGTATCACGAAACTCAGCGCCCTTAATCCTCTCAAAATCGCCGACCTCTCGTACTACTTGCTCATCGAACATCTCGCTGGTCTGTTTGGCGCTCTCCACTTCCCTGGTCAATTCTTGTATCTTTAATTCAAGCTTTCGTTTTCGATCTTGCTTGGCAGTTTCGTGATCGACTCCACGCATATCCTCCATCTTGTGTCGGATGAAAGTTGCGGGATTGAGATTCGAAGCGGACGAGGAATAAGCGTTGCTGCTGGCAAGATGGTCACGCTCTGCAGCGGCTTTCTGTAGATACTCTGTCAAAGCCTCGAAATCCACCTGCTTCTGATCTCTGGTCTTCAGCAGTGACTGTATCGAAGTGATGTATGATTGCATATCGCGTAGACTCCCGAGGTAGTTCTGGTCAGTGTGGTCTTTTAAGGCCTTAAAGCCCTTTGATGTCTCTTCAACACATGCAGCAAAAGTGTGAAGTGGCATTTCAATGCCAGATTCTAAGGCAACGAGTTTCTTCGTGTTGGTCGCTAGGTCATTGTAATCCACTTCAAGGTCTCCTTCCCGACGAGCCACTCGAGCCACAATCTTTTCAACATGCGTCAGGTCTTCATCTAGCTTAGAGGTCCTTTCATAGACTTCCAGGAAACGCTTGTCTGGCTTGTGTACCTTACTGAAAGCGTTTAGCATGGTGTCAGCTACATTGTCGAAAAATCCAGAAGGGGCACCAGGTGATCCAGGAGCTTCGCCCGTGGTATTTGCTCGGCTCGGTCTCAATCTCATTTGTGCATTCCAATCGCTCGTCTCCAGAAACAGTATAAATATTGGGGCTCTACGGAGCACGGGATGCAGCGTTAGCCTCTTGATGAATCGGTGTAAAGACCATGCCCGTCTTTGCATGAAGTCAATGCTGAAGCGGTCCCCCCTCACGTAAGCCATGTTGTTCTTTTCAGGTAACGGAGGTACTGCGCATGCTGGATATTCACGATAGAGAGTCTGGCGTAGAAAAACAAAGTCCGTGAACCGTCTTCGGATCGAGAACTCAGGGCATTGAAATGATTTGAAATCAGTCTACGTATCAGCGGTCAGTCCTGCCATAGCTACCAATGAGTCTGAGATGAGAGGAAAACCAACCGTGGTTGTGATGAGATAAGAAACATAAGCATCCTTTGTGCCGTCATTCTCCTTTAACGGTGAGCCAACGGTGCATTCCAGAAATCCATCACCAATGCCGCCCAGATCGATTGGCTCCGCATGCTCACCAGCCTGAGGATCATGGTGTTGGTGCTGCGAACTCAGTCTGCGCTTGCCATTGGAAATTCTAGTTGGAAGTGTCGCTTCAGGTGAGGGCTCTGCGGAAGTTGGTCCGGATACGTGACTCTCTGATTCATTTCGCCAGGAAACACTGTCGAAGTCGCCATGGTCATCCATGGTGGTGATGATGACTGAAGTTGAGCACGATCAGGCGCACGGCGGCGTGATCCACACCCAAAGTTGTAAGCACCTTGAGTTGTTAACAGTCCAGCAACTTCTTCTCCTTGTCTTGAATCGTTAGAGACCATAAAGCAGAAGAGCTTCAACAGCTTACTCAGTCACAAATTGAAGAATAGGCCAACGGATGTAGAACTTCCACACTGAACAGAGCTTGGCAGCATCAGCACAGCGTGAAGCCCGCTAATGGGTGGGGTTTAACTACATAGACTACGCAAGCTCTCCGTCTTGACACACGAACTACGACAACAACCCAGAAGAATTTGACTTGTTTCAACACAGTTGCCCCACAACTTTCAGGAGATCTTGGAACAGCAAGCAACGACTCAATCATCCCGCATTTGCTGCTATCCTTATACATCGCTTGACTCAGAAAACCACACCGCAAGAATCTCAGCAGCGGACCGAAGCTTGGCGCCAAAATTTATGAGACTTCTCAGATTCCTGCTATGCTACACGCCCCTTTAATAGGGGATAGGGCGCCCATTTCGCTCATTTAGGGCAGCTACTCTATCTGGCATTGTTGAGATAGCCCTATTAAGGTCGTCATGTGTGCTACTAGACGTTTGAGTGTCTTTCTCCGTCACCGCCGCTGCGAGCAATGACTTTGACAAAAAATTGGCCAGCCGCGTCACCAGCTTAGCTACGTTGATCAAGGCCAATAAATGGTGCGCATATGCAGGTTCAGGAGCGACGATTTCTTTCAAAATAGCCATATAATCACTCTGAATGAGACGTCCTCCTACTCCGGAGCCAGTGTAGAAGTGGAGCTGACCCTTGAAATTCCATCCAATAACTGCGTACACATGAACTGATTGATTTTGGCGCTTTAACTTGAATTGGGTCTTTGAGGTCTTTGAGAGAGCATTTCGAGCTTCAAAACCCTTTCGACGATGAATTCGAGCTTGTCGCTGCAAGCAAGTAGCAAAATGGGACTCATCATACCATCGAAACTTCTTAAATGCATCTAGTTGCTAATATCAACATTCAAATCCCTATATAATTCAGGCTTCAATATGTGCTTGTGAGAGCATTTTTTTCTGTGCAGCCATATAGGTTCTCACACCAAAATCCTTCATATTTCTTTGAATTGCACGTTCGGAGCCATTTGCTACACCAATAGTCTGTGCCACCTTGAAATGACTTGATGAAGCAAAGCCAAAATTAGCATCTTCAACGGCCTCAATTGCTTCACATTCGTGAGAAGCAAGTACTCGTTTTCGGCCTCGATTGTGTATCTTCTCGCTGCGGCGCACAGTTCTTTCTTTAATGATTCGATAGCCAGTTGCTTTAGATACATTATGTATCTTAAATAGCTCCGTACGAGGTAGTTTGCCAGCTGTGTGGCGTGCATCAGCGAGGAGGCGCGCGCGGCGCGGCGTATCAAGCATCGTTTTTAACGTTCGTGAGGCCGCAGGAGAAGGAGGATCTATCGAATAAGACTTTCGACAGACTCTTCGTCTGTTTCCTCGTTCAGAATCCATTGTTCCCTTAATTTGAGTGAGTATTGGTAGAGAAATAGGGGAATGAAGAAGGGGGGGAGAGGAAGGGGATCTGAGAAGTCTCATAAATTTTGGCGCCAAGCTTCGGACCCTCACTGCCAGCTTACGTCACATTGTCCTTGCTCAATTGACCTTTTCTGCTGTGCCTCGATTAGATTATTGTGAAAACCACACATGTATCCCACGGCGCAATAGTCTTGTCCAATGCAAAGCAGGGCGCACCTCAAAGCTGAAGGCAGACAAGAACGCTCTGATGGCGTCTAGCTTGATCGCTGTCTCTCGCAAAACAACCAGAATTTAACGAGTCCAGTAGAGTTGTATTTCAGGCTGAGTGCTCTACTTTTACCCACTCCAATTTGAGCAGCTACCGTGGAACATTCAGCCTAGCGATGTGATCTTTAAACGACTGAAGATCATCTACGGATTTTTCTGAGTCTTCCATACTTTTAGCTGACGAGGTCGCACGGGGGATCTAATAGAGTTGCATTGAGACATGACAGCCTTATCGGATTGTCTATCGATATGTACAGACAAGTTCAGCCAAAATGTGCTATATTAGACCATAGAATCCGAACTGTTGATATGGTACCCGCTCTCCCAGAAAACACAGCCAGAACCACTCTGTATGTCTGGACCTGACTAACAATGCAAAGTAGCATCATGTATATATAGTAATATTTCGTATAAGCGACCCGGAATTAACCAACCCCGCTAAGATCCAATACACGAACCAATAAAGCTTGGCATTAAAGACTGGCTCGAGTTATTTTAGTTGGTAAATACTATAGAATTCGAGCCTTAACAACCAACGTCTGTACGACCAACAAAAAGTCAAATAGAAGAATCAGTCATGCGGAGTATACATTGCCCTACTCGAGTAATGACAGCGGACAACTCCACCATCTCCACTCAGTCAGCCTTAGGCACCGCTTACCCAAACAAGATCCAGCTGATTCACGACCTCCAGCTAAGCGAGAGAGCCGCCTAGATCCTCACATTCTTCTTCCCAGATCACACAGAGAACATACCCCAAACCGAAGCAGGGCAACAAATATCAAGAACCAGAAACTTAATCCAGTCTAGTTCCAACCCAACCCAACCCAACCCAACCCAATCCGCCGCCAGTTCGTTCCGCCACCACCAACATCTATCCATCATGTCCTTTTTTGTCTATATCCATCCGACTGACGATCGATCTGATAAGGCGTGCACGGCCTGCGGCGGGCGGCCTACTAGTTAGGCACGCCTAGGTGGTGAACATGTCCCCGTTCCGTCTGTCCATCAGCTCCTTGCCCATCCTGCATTCCTGCCGGGGAAGCCTGCCCCGTACCCTACACTTCGGACCACAAGTATAACGTGGCAATTCTTCGTGACATGTCATATCTGCTGAGTACTGGCAGAATTACTCCGTAGGATGAACCATGCTAGAACCGTAAACGCAAAGTACCTGCGAACGGTAGATCTATTTCCCCATTCAGACACGGGACAGCATACGTAGATGGTGTTTCAGGTTTTTTTTTTCAGAGAAGAGTAATTACTAAGCCCAAATCCGACCACTATAGTAATAACAATGAACGATTATTGATAATCCGCATCCTTCTATTCCACCGTATCTGCCTTGATCTATAACGTCGCTTCTCACTCACACAGCAGGCACCAAGCCATAATCCACCACGCCGCCCTTCCTCCCCCAACCCCACCAACGAAGCCTAACACCCATCCGCCCAGCCCAGCCCTCCAGCTCACTGATCTTCTCATCCCCCCTCACCCCCAGAAAACTCTGCCCCCTCTTCTCGACGGCCGTGCCCCCGTACCCCTGTAGACCATGTGCCATAGTCGCGAGCGCATTGCCCCGCCAATTCGGCAGGCCCAGCACATGTGTCTGCCACATGGTGAGGCCGAGCACAATCGCCATGAGGAGGATCAGGCACATCGGGAGGAGAAGCCATTTCCACCGGACATGGATGTAGGATTCTAAACTTGTGGCTGTGCCTGTTGCCATTTGTCCAGAGGTCAGGCGCATGTTGTTGGTTATTGCTGTGGCAATGTGTTCCATGGTCCGAGGGACGTGTCTAGCGCCATTCAGGAATAGTGCTTGCACGAGATCTGTTGAGAAGGCGTCGGAGTTGCCGGTGCCGTTGAGTTGTTTGGTGAGGTATTGCGAGAGTGCTTGGCTTGCGCGATGGCTGATGGAGAAGGTCAGGTTGGTGTTCGGTTGCAGGGAGCCTTGTGGGATTGTAACTTCCCAGGGCGCTGTCTCGCTTGCCGTGTTGAGCATGTATGAATTTGTGATATTTTCGGTAACTTGCCCAAGGCGGACTCGACTCTGGTACGTGTTAACGCTTGGCGAAATAGCACAATCGTACGCGTAGAGCCGCCCAATTGTATACTTAGTATCCCCATCCTCTATATCGGTGACCTCCGTATCGTAGATCAGCATTGAAACGTTGGCCAGACTCTTTTGATACTGATCGAAGTTGTTTATGTTGAGGCCCGCAGCTGTACTCACAGTGATGTAATCATTTCCGGTGATCGGTAGATTGAGTCCATTTGGTAATGATATGGAGCCGGTGCAGTTGTTGGCCCCAGCAGGGCTAGTGGCACACGTCTCATTAATCAATGCCGAGACGTCGACACAGCGCGAGCGAGCTGCGAGCGAGGCGAACTCAGGATACGTGCAATCGCCTGTTGAACATTGTGCTTGTATAATGTCCGACAATAGAGTAGGCTTAGTGGCGAAGGCACCTTCGAGAACGGCCGACTCCAAGGACTGACTGATACCGACATCGCTCCTAGATATTCGGCCAAATTCGTTGTGAGACTGGCTGAACGGAATGGTTGTATTGCTGTTAACTGGTCTCGGCTGATACACAATCGTCTGTTGGATGAACGCGTCGTTCGCCAACGCAAACACTGTAATGAAGCATGCGATTGATGCCAGATGGGAGAAGCCAATAGACCATAGAAGCATTAGAGCCCCCCACGGCCCTCTCGATGCAGCGTCGAAGATCTGGAATCTCCGCAAGGTCCTTTGTCTTTGGCCATACCAGATCCACTTCAGTTGACCGAGACAAGATGCTATGGGTAGGGACAAGAAAATTCTCAGAATGGTTGCCAATACCGACAAAAGGGAGTTGGAAGTGATTGAAGAACGCCAGTCCACGGCGGGTCGCTCTCGGTAAACAGCAAGCCCAATGCCGATAATTCCCAAGGCGAGTGAAGCCACAACAATCGAAATGCATTCGAGTGCCCAGCTATCCGCAATGAACCAAATCCAACATGTCTTCAGATTTCGCAGCCACGGACGAAATATACTTCTGCCGCTGGGACCATGCTCTAGCTCGTGGACTTGGAAGATGGTAACGTTACGGGCCTTTTTCGTGCTGATGCTGTCATTGGTGCTAGTGGGAGTAGGCAGATCCTTGGAACCAATATCGGGCAGGTAAACGCTCTCGTAGGGACTCAGCTTTTGGGCCATTGCTGGCAAATGTAGTGAAGAATAAGAAATTCGTACTGCGAGGTTTCAAAGTGCTACATAATAGAAGAAAATGACCGCGGAAGAAATACATCGAAGAGATAGGACAGACATACACAAAATGACCCAGGCACATGTGTAATCAGCCGGCTGTGGTGTGCCTGATGCAACCTACCGTACAATGTTGGCTCTCTGGGAGAATCCTGCAGAAAGGATTCAAACGTGGGCCAGACGAGGCGGTGCTCCAATGGGCATAGGCCGCAACAACCGTGAAGCCATCGAGACGGTTGCCTTGCACAATGGTTCATCAAATAGTAGAGTTCTCTCTCCACAACCCGGCTCGACAAGAGTTGCAGCCGGCAAGATATTACGGACCTCCTCCAACATAGGTCTTGTGGGCGGCTCAGGGAAATGTAGCCTAGAGTTCTGTGTGCTAACTCGTCGGGGCCGATAACTCTTCAATAGGAAAGCAGAAATACTTCGGATACAACATGATCAGCTTCACTGTTATGACCAACAAGCAGATGACGAGAATGTGCTTACCGGTTGTTTCGAGACGTTGCAGCAGACTCAGCTTGGCTGCTGGTGATACCGTGCCATTGGTATTATTGGTATTGTTGGTATTTTTGGTATTACCCGGATGTCAAGAGCTGACTAATAGTACTCGAGTCTTGGGTAAACTGCAATAGATAGTACGTAAAGTCAGTACAACGTAAACGAAGCTTGCCGTGGCAATCCGCAGTAGCGATGAGCTTCGTGATGTTGACTCGAAAGTGATCAAAATTGTCAAGATGCTATACGTCTGGTGAGTTGCGGCAAAATGTCTTCTGGGACGCCTTCAATGCTAGATGCAAGTCTTTATGGCCCATGACCAGTGTCACCGCTTGACTCCATCCTCCCTGCCCTTTTCTCACCACGACCACGTTCCGAGTCCGGAATATCTCGATACGTCTCTTCTTCTCCGTCACTGCTGAAAAGTTCGTCGTCGCTTTCGCCTGCGAAGGCGTCATAGAGCTCGCCAGCTCTTCTTTTCGCCTTCTTACCACTTGCATGACCATCCACCCCTCCGTTGTCCTCCTGGGTGTCTAGAATCTCGAACTCATAGTCATCACGGGGGTTATTGCGGATTCGTTTTCTTCGCTGGATGAAGAAGTACGCTCCTAATCCAATGCAAAACAATATGATCAGAGCAACAGCACCGTATATCCAAATTTGAGTTCTTTTGGACACTCCAAAAGTGGGAAAGAAAGAGGGCAGAAGACTATCCGACGGGGCAGAACTCGCCGTAGGAGAACTGTCTGCAGCAGACGCGGACGTTGAACTTAGCCCGGGAGTCCCGTTGGAAGAGCTAGGTGTTGGCTTAGCATTCACAGGTCGGTCGATGTGGTCGGTGGGGATTGCAGGTACATCTGTTGGAGGGGTTCCAACGGCTACACTTGTGGTTGCAACAGAGCCCGTAGTGGTTTCGTGATCGTCATCATGCTCGTCTGGATAAGGATGAAGTGTTTGTTTGGCTTCATCGATGCACTCACCCCACAGATTGAGCCTCCAGTCGATGAAGCGACCTTTTTCCTCGTTCAATTCTGTATCCTTGACGATGACTGTCCACGTGCCGGCTCCAGACTCGCCCCTGTATGTATTAGAGAGACGGAGAAAAGGGCGGGGTATAGATCACAACTCACCAATGAACCACCGACATAAATGTCCAATCCACGTAGCCTGCTTGTGCTGCATCGTTCCGCCTGCTTGTGCTGAGGTGGCTTATCAAGCCATGAGGGCTCCGCATCTCCACACTAAGATCGCCTCGGCGCGTGTGGTTGACATTCATTGTCACGGTCACATGCTCAAGCCTCTCAAGGTTCGCCTTCGTCAACATTTCTTGCGTGACATCGAATGAGCTGGCCAAACCACGATCGCCTTGAGGAATATCACGCTGTACTGACAACCAGGGAGAATTGTACCAAGCCTGGGGCTTGACCGATTCGAATGTCTTGGCTGCTTCAATCAACCTCCACGCATCAATCTTACCATAACCGTAGACATGACTGAACTTCTTGCCATTTTTGGTATCTTGCCAGTCGCCGTCATCCAGATGCACCGGAATGGCTGCATCAATACATAGGTACTGCAAGTCCCGCCAACTTAGATCTGGCCGAAGTCCCAGCGCCAGTGCCACTGTTCCAGCTACCAATGGCCCAGCAGCCGAAGTACCACCATGCCCGATATAGCACTTGTTGGTACCAACGTCCGTGGTATGTATGGCATCGCTACCGCCACTGCTGTAGGTAACGACAAGTTGTGCAGAGCACGGCTCAGAGTAGTAGGGATGATTCCCCTCACGGTCGATGGCGCCTACAGTAATGCTGTATATGCTGTTGGTGTAGCCATCAAAATTGCAATTGTCGCCTGCAGCAGCCCCATTGCCGGCAGCAAAGACAAAGACGGAACCGAGACCTCCTCGGCCGTGCTGAACCCCATTCACCATGGCTCGCTGAATCAGGGTGCTTGGAGCGTCCATTGTCCGGCCGTCGTCTGGGGGACCCCACGAGCACGAATAGATCTGGTTGTCTTGGTAGCCGTAGTTGATAGCAGCCGCTTCATCTTCATCACTGATTACTTTGGACAATATCCTGATGCCTGACACCTTTCCATCATATGCCATTCCCACCCCACAGGCATTGTTTCTTACCGCCGCAATTTCCCCTGCACACCTAGTTCCGTGTTTGTCGTCAAATAACCTTGGCCTCGGCTCAGGACCAGGGTCGTTGTAATCATAGGATCCAGCGGCGAAGTAATTGTCCTTAAGATCATGACTGTACATGTCCAGTCCATCGTCAATGACAGAAGTGATAGAACCATTTCCAGTTATTCCCTGTAACCAAACCCCAGTCACGTTGAGATCGTGGCCAAGCTGAATTGTGTTAAAGATGTGCCATTGGTCCTTGAATATTGGATCTTGGATTTCTAAAGTACGAGCGATGTCGTCTAATGCTTCAACAGCGATGGGATCCGGCTGAGGGCGGCCTGGAGGGGGAGGGCCTTGTCGGGGGGCAGGCGGAGGAGGTATCCTCTTCGCCAAACGTGGCCTTAGTCTTTGCTTTTCATACCACAAGATTCCAGAACCACTTTGGATCCCACGTTTTCGTCGTCTCTTCCGTAGTTCATATAATGCGTTCTCCACCGCCGAACCGCGCTCTTTTGGGGCTGAAAACGTATAGTGGTCAGGAAGCTGCCCTATAGGACCTTCTAGATGGGCACCGATCGATTGAGCAACCGCATGTGGCGATACAAGCGCGTCTAGGTGTAAGGCGAAATAGTCATGCGATTCGAAGTTTCGACGGGTTGCAATGGCAGATGAGGCAGCTACCGAGAACAGTAAGGTCGCCCACGTCGAGAGTAGCATTGTATTCGCAGGCGGAAAGGCCTAAACGTGTTCGACTCGAGACGAGTCGTCCATGAGCAGCTTCTGGTGTATAAGGCTCTCTTCCGATTGATCTGCTCTCAAAGAAGGTAATAAGGGTCACTGACGACGTGGGAAGGGGTCCAAGAAATGCAATCGTACGGTCACGGCCACATTGAACAAAGAACACTTAGAGATGGAATACGGTCTCCACGAAGGAATGAGATGGTAACAAGGAGTGAACTCGATGCCAAATGAATGGTGAACTTTCCGATCCTCTTCACCGACTCAAGTATATCGATGTAAGCCGCCCTCCTAAGGTGAGATCTGTTCTCCTGGCTGTGGAAGTAGAGGGCCAAGATGTCAAAAAAGTGTGTCCTTGGAACCTTGGTCTGACTGGCGGCCGCATCCTTAGGTCGAGCACCCCAAACTCTGACCGAGCCAGGGGCTTAGCTCAATACAGTTAGTTAATCGGGCCTCCATTCTTGCCTAGCTGCTTACCTTCCAGCTTCGAATGCTTGGTAGTCGTGGAGCTGCATCATCAACTGCCCCCTCCAACTGCCCCTAGAGCTGCCGATTGGCTGCTTATACTTAACTATGCTGCCAGCCACAACCTTACTCCTGTACCATTGTCCCTAAAAGCTTGCATACGATCTAATGCAGAGCTGCCTTTCCATGTAACTTAGTCTTAGTACTCGACCTGTACTGGTTATCTTGCTTCGATCATCTTCTTGTGTATTGCAGCGCTCATCCAGCATTGTGGAGTGCTGCTTTCTCCTTATTGTGCCACAATCGTGATCCAGCCCATGCCGTGTTGCACTTTGCGCGGACTTCTCAAGCCGCAGAGTGGCAGCTCTGTCATTACTGTAGTAGTGCTTTACTTTTGCCAGAAACCCCCATTTGACTGTTTCATTTCATTTTCTTGGATTCGCCCATTTCTGACATGCTGAGAACAATTCTGAGCTGAATAGGCCAAGGACACCAGACAAAATGTCAACGCGTACTCAGGATTACATGGGTCCCTACCACACATCGCCGACATCGCAGAGACAAAAGCTCTCAAATGGCGCAACTCCTACGAGTAGTCAGTCTAGAAGACAAGACCAAGCCAATCTTTCCCTACAGACTGATTACGATGACCACCTCAGCTATCCTCCTGCCGCACCGGAGGTGCCTCGTGCCCTACCGATCTCGTACAAACAGCCGTATGAACGAGAGATAATAGACCAACAACCAACAAGATCATTTTCACAGAGAGCGAAAGGACAGATGCTGGCGCAGGAAGCCATTGGGGACGAGAAGTACTGGGACGATAGGGGTGCGCAGCCCTTACAGTTGGAGATACCTGAAGATGCCCGGAAGAATACCACCCGCGACGATGTACCAGTGGCTCCACAGAACGGTCTCAACATCTCGGACGGGGGGCGCAACGTCCGGCGGGGCTCCTCTCAGAGGCAGCCGGATACACCTTCACAAGACAGTCCACATTCAACCTCCAGAGAGCTTCGAGACCACCAACGTCCGGTACGACACGAAGCCGACACTGCGCCTCTAAAGTTGGACCTCAAATCCCCGACTGCGAAGATAGGCACGATGAAAGGGCCGAGAAAGCTCAGTGAAAGCCAGCAGAGAGAATGGGCGCACGATCGGTCCCCACTGCAAACTCTGGAAGTCAAGTTGAACGACATTAGCAAAGAGGAGAAACGTGCAAGAGTGGAAGAGGCTGAAATGCTGCTGCGCGAAGCTAAGGCTGGAAGAGGAGGACGCAGGTCCAGCAAGGAAGTCCCGGCAACCGCAAAGAGAAACGTTTCGACAAGAGAGCCACCGCTAGAACCTAAAAGTGTTCAAAAGGCTTCACTAGACCACAACACTCAGAGCACACAGCGTGGTACTGGGCAACCCAGAACCCGGGTGGAGGTTCAGGAGACAACCAAAGGGTTTCCATCTAGCGAAGACAGGCAAGGACTTGATATTGAAAAGCACTTAGTAGCAAGACCACCTGTTGGCAATGAGGTAACTCCTTTTTTGGATGAATCAAGGTCTTGGCAACAGGCTTCACAAGACGAGGGCCGTATACACGCAGCTCATACTGTGTATGAAGCTACCTCCTTGAGCAAGCCACGACAAGACTCCTTGCAACAGCCAATAATCGTTGACCAAGTCCATCCAGCCCATGACCCACGCCTGATACATGCTACAGAACGCAACTCAAATGAGCCTGACTTACAACATGATCCAAGAAGCAACCAGCTTCAGAATAATGTAAGGCGAGCAGCTTCGACTCGACAAGATCCAGGGGCAAAGTCGATCCCCTCAAACATCACTCGCGCCATCTCTTCCCAACAACATCAACCCCAACCTCTCTTTGCTGACGACCAAGATTTGTCAGGGCCTGGCCCGATAAGAGAGTCAAATTCATCGCACAAAGCTGCATTGGCAGAGGCAAATGCCGCAGTCGGAGCTACAGGTCCCAGCGCTGCCGCCTCTATGACTCGTGATAACAGCAGGAAATTGCAAAAGGCTCCAACAGCGAACCTCAGCCGAGGTTCCTACCCCGAGGAGAAAAGACCAGATTGGCTGTTTTCTGGCTTAAAACAAGGGTCAACCTCTGCGGATCCACCTCGATCCAGCACGAATACTAGCGTGGAAGATACGAAGCTCGAATTCTACTACAAAGGAATGCCGAAGCAAGCCGACGTCCCAAGAGTGAACTCTCAGAGAGCTCCTGAATCGGCTATGCTGGGCGTCAAAGAGCCTGCATTTAACGAACAAAACAGTACTACGAGCAGACCCCGACGGACAAGCGTCTCTTTCAAAGTCCCCTTTGACAAAGCTCGGCCCGTGAACGAGTGGAAGCAAGCTGGTACAGCACGACTAACACTAGCAGATCTCGCCCTGGACGTGCCCAGTGGAGGGGATCAGGCCTGGTGGGAGACCAATGGCTCATCTGGTCGCAGGAGGAGCAAAGGTACATCGGGAAATGTGCAATCATCGGGGGTGTTAAGCCAGCAGAAACAACCCAGATGTGTCGAATTCAAACCACCACTGTATCTCAAGTGTGGCCCTCTGCTTCGATATACTGGTATGAGGAAGGAACGGGAAGAACCACAACAATCTGGCCAGACTAATAACCCCACTGGTCGGGAGATGTGGAGAGGGAGTGTGATGATTGTGACGAATGATTCGCAGTCTTCATATGAGGAGGTCCCAACGCTGCGGATCTTTTCCCAACCCAGAGACCTGCTACCGCCGCCTCCAGACCAAGTGCAAGGTGACGAGCTAGCTCCCGAATATGTCGACCCTATTGCAGGCTTGACCAAAGTATCGAGACGCGGCCAGACGCTTTACGTCAAGCCGGTCGACTATCTAGAAGAAGGTAAAGATCTCTCTCGCATCGAAGACGATGATGGTCTCTTCGAGACCACGCCAAGTCCACTCGACAACAGTGCTCAGATATCTGCCACTGCAAATAAGAGAACCCGTGGCAGGGACGGAGAGGCGCTTGGTAAGTTCAAGGAGGTCAAAGGTTGTAGACTTTATGCCGACATCGAGCGGGACGTCACGTTCTGGCGTTTCAACATCGAGGTGGAGCTTTCTGATCAACAAGCTCATATCGCTTATCGCATCAACCACGGACCTCCCGTCGGTTTTTGGGTCCCTGCGAAGGGCCAGAGCATGAACATAATGTTCCACAGCTGCAACGGTTTTAGCTTGACCGTCGATACTGATAAATTTGGCGGTCCTGATCCGTTGTGGCGCGACGTTCTCAACACACATCAAACACGTCCATTCCACGTGATGATTGGAGGCGGTGACCAGCTATACAACGATGGAGTCATGGTTGATACCAATCTTTTCGCCGCTTGGACCCAGTTGCGAAACCCCCATGAAAAGCATCATGCGCCATTTACGGATGCCATGCGTCAGGAGTTGGAGTCATTTTACCTAAATCGGTATGCCATGTGGTTCTCACAGGGGCTTTTTGGATTGGCCAACTGTCAGATACCAATGATCAACATATATGACGACCACGATATCATTGATGGATTTGGATCATACCCTGACGACTTCCAGCGAGCTCCTGTGTTTATGGGTGTTGGAAACATTGCGTTCAAATATTATATGCTTTTCCAACATCAGAGTGTGCCAGAAGAGACTCAAGCTGATGAGCCAAGCTGGCTACTCGGAGCTAAGCCTGGCCCATACATCCAGCAATTGAGCCGAAGTGTGTTCCTGAACATGGGAAAGAGCATAGCGTTCCTCGGACTGGACTGTAGAACTGAGCGAGAGGTGAGTGCTGAGACCGTGTGACTGAATGATGGGTAACTCACTGACCGAGTTCAGCGCTATTCTGTAATGACCGATGACACCTATGACCTTATTCTTGATCGATGCCGTAGAGAGATCGAAGAAGGCGAGACAAAACACCTGCTTGTTCTTTTAGGCGTCCCCATTGCATATCCGAGTCTGGTCTGGCTCGAAAACCTTCTTACTAGCCGAGCACTGGCCCCAGTCAAGGCGCTTGGACGAGCTCGTATCTTCAAAGGTGGTCTCTTGAATAAGTTCGATGGGGGTGTCGAAGTCTTGGATGACCTCGACGATCATTGGACTGCAAGTGGGCACAAAGTCGAGCGGTTCCATCTCATTAGAGACCTACAAGAACTTGCAGCGGAGAAGTCTATTCGCATTACTATTCTTGGAGGCAATGTGCACCTGGCAGCTGTCGGCCAATTCTACTCGAATCCAAAGCTCAAGATTCCCAAGGATCGCGATCATAGGTACATCCCGAACGTGATCTCTTCTGCGATTGTGAACACACCGCGGCCTGAAATGGTGGCAGACACTCTGAACAAGAGGAACCGAGTTCACATTTTCGACCAATACACCATGGAAGATATGATTCCAATGTTCACCCACGACGTAGACGGCAAAAAGCGGAACAACAAGCGTCTGCTGCCACGCAGGAACTGGTGCTCAATTCGAGAATACCATCCCGGGTCCACCCCACCATCCACACCTCCCGAATCTCCTACGCCGAGCGAACAGATGTCCGAGTCCGAAGATTATCAGCCGCAGACCCGTCGACGCTTTTCCTTCTCCCGAGAGGACGCAAACCCCAGGCAACTGCTCCGCCGACTCAGTCAACGTGCTGCCCCACCATCCTCCTACAGAGATGACATGAATATCAGCAGCCCCATGACCCCCAGGAGAGCAAGCCATGACGGCAACTTCTCAAACCCTCGACAACCTCAAACCGCGCCTCCGACACGCACCTCCTTCTCCATGAACAACAACAGTCCCCTGCCACCAAGGACCGCGCCTCCTAACCAAACATCCTTCAATTCAACCGCCTCTTACAATCACCGCGCCTCTATAGACGCCCTCCCCTCAGCCCCTCAACCGCGCCCAGGCATATTGCGCCGCCCCACCAATCTTTCCGAAAAAGCGTCAAAGAAGGGTGGACCGCCGCCCCTGGTGACTGACTCCCAAGGAAATCTCATCGAGGACTATAACGACCACATCGATCTCGAGGGTGGGCTGGATATCACCTTGAATTGTGAAGTTAATCAGGGCGATCCAGCCGGTATCACGACGCCGTACCGCCTGCTCGTACCTACTTTGATATACGATGGAAGCAGTGATCGTCAGAAACTGGATGCACCAGTCGGAAATGGTGGTAAGGGTGCTGGTGTAAAACGGAGACCGACGTTACTCAATAGGCTGGGTTTTGGAAGGACTGGAAATAGGAGTGTGGCTGATCGTCAGGGCGAGGGGAACTGGGGTCAAGCCAGTTTCAGCGAAACGGAAAGTGAGCGTCTGGATGGCGATGAAAGGTACAGCAGTGGAGAAGAGGACGATCAGTACTACGAGAAGGAGAAGAGGTCGTCTGGCGGAGGAGTGTTAAAGAGGTGGTTCAGTGGCAGAAGAGGCAGAACCTCCCAGCCGCAGGACAGATATTCTCCAGAGTATGAAGAGGCGCCGCCGCCCCAGCAGCCGCCGCTGCCGCCGCTCAGAGGGGGACAGCTGCAAACCCGCGATGAATTTGTGGGTCGGGAGTTGACGTCTACATCTCCACAGCCCCAGCAGCAGCAGGCCAACCACTCGTCCTCGAAGCGTGACAGCTATGAAATTCCGCCATTCGAGCCTTTCCCCTCCCAGGCCAGAGGCAAGGCAGCCAGAGTCATGGGCGTCGATCAGGGTCCCATGCCAGTACCGTACGGCTCTGCACCTCCGCAGTATCCATCACGGCGTCAGGAGCATCTGCCGCCGCCGCCGCCGCCGCAAGAACAACAAAAACGACAACCAGGTGTGAGCACTAACTCCTCTGCAAACGCAGGTGTAGGTGCCAGCACCTCAATGAGTACAAGCATAAATCAAAGCCAACCTCTCCCACCTCCCACAAGAACATCAACACTACCACTCTCCCCTCAGGAAGCACCACGAACAAGAGACTCGAACTCAAGATTTTACGCAAACCACGACCAAGAAGCAGCACCGGTTGTACGTGGCTACAATGGAGTAGAGGCTTACCCTGGAAGGAAAATTTCTAAAGCTACAAAAGGAGGGAAACTGAGAAAAGGGAAGTGGTGATCTTGGTGGTCTGTAATCTAATCGAATCCAATTGGATGAACCTGAGCATCGAATCGAGAACGACAAAGTGAAAGAAGATAAAGAGGTGGATGACCAATTTGAACTCGGATGTCGGAAATGGAAATTGGCTACCTACCTGGATGGAGCTGAAAGACCATCATATCATGGTCACACCACGGCCAGGCTATCATAATGCATGTCAGGTGATTGAGAAATGAGCGATGGAGCGCCTGAGAAAGGGATTGCATCTTATTCTGGCCCTTCTAATATAGCGATTTGCATGCTTTTCTTGGTTTACGCACTGAACACGAACGTGTGTTGTGAACCTTCACAAGTTAGATTTTGCGCATTCATAACCTGTGGGTACCTGAATAACCACTCAGCGCACACTGATGAGAGCTGGTTTTTTTTGTATGTGAACAGCAAGACCTCTGGCAAATGAGAGATATAGTATTGATATTAATCGTAGCTGGAATGAAGGTCTGTCAGAGAATATTGGAAGTTGAAATTAGGCACCTGTCTTTTGGGATCCCAGGGGAGTGCAAGGGCAACAGAACAGTAGGGGGTCAATAGATTGACTTATTGAGCGCAGAGAACTAGAATCTATGTACAAGAAGAAGGATATAAGTAGTAGGATATCCTCTTGAGCCCTTTGATGCGCAGAATAATGCAGAATCCACCAGAGTCCTCCTGGCCCTCATACCCGTGCGCAGGGCACGCGCTTGGCATGCTTGGCGCGCATAACAGAGATATCAGTATGGCCTCACTTGAGCGGAGGGTTCAATGAAGCCTCCTGTGAAGAGCTTATGGAAATACGTCGAATTCTTACGCAATATCAGCTATGATGCGTTCAGGATTACTTTACCACGCGACTATGGCCTCTTGGATGCTTGCCTCTTTTTCTCAATAGGATAGAGCTATTTTTGGTTGAGTAACATACACGTTGTGCATGGGTCATGGCAGGCCAAAATGCACTGCAATTTTAGCGTAAATAAAGGCGACACACCCGGCCATAGGAGGAATGCGTTACAGTCAGTGCAATTTTATTGTGCGTTGCAAAATTGTTGCAAATTCTGCCCGCGGTGCCAGCGATTCGCGGGTCCCGCCAAGGAATTTGCAACAATTATGCATAAGATTGGACCGAAGGCCCTAACTTGCACTGCAATTTTAGTGTAAATAAAGGTGACACACCTGGCCATAGGAGGAATGCATTACGGTTTGTGCAATTTATTGAACAAATGTGCAACCTCCAAATGGCGAATCATCATTCTTGATAACTAATGACCTTTTGTGCTCTCAAGCTTGATTGCCTCAGTTCTCAGCCGTACTCTGTGGCTTTGACGATGACTAAGTCAATGTGCGCCAGCACGTCTGAGGACAGGAACGAAAAATACGGCCTGATTGTCATTCCGCCCCACAAAATAAGCGAGCTATACCATTTTAGGCGAAAATTACGTGTATTATCTTGTAATTTGTAATTTTACGTAAAAATCAACAGATCTCGCAGCTATTTCGCGCACGATCCTACGCAGATTTCGCAATTATTTCGCACACAATCTTACGCAGAATTCGCAGCTATTTCAATATAAAATACGCCCAAAATATATCAAAAATACACAGATTGAACACAGAGCTATTGACACAGAAAGGCAGTCAATCTAGTCGTCGGTGATCTGGAGACAGTATGAGAACCACCGACAGAAATTTCAGGAGCATTAGACGGCTGGATAATGCTAGGGACCTTACCAGATTTTTGTCAAATCGGATTTTCTCAAAAGAGGGTACAAAGATCTCTAGAATGCGGTTGGAATTACAGGAATCTGTGATAATAGATGGACAGAGCATCATCAAGAGTCGTGACAGAATACTTTAGTTGATGAAAATTGATAGTGTTGTTATTGTAGTAGATGAAAACGTTGATAGATTGTAAGTCGCGACATGAATGACACGACTTTGGCCCTATTTACACTAAAACGAATGACAATCAGGCCAAAATACGGGCTCGTGTCCCCAGACGTGTGAGATAATGTCTGCTTAGTCAAGGACTAGCCCATTTCGAGCATGGCGTGTGTGGCGTAGCCCACTAAGCCCGTCTGGGTTCTGAGGCAAAAGCTTGAGTCAATTCAAGACAACAGCTGCAATTACCCTTGACGAGCAAGATCTCTTGAAGACGCTTTCTTACTTCTATCGATGTTTCGATAACTTTGAAGAGGAGTCCGTCTCTGACTTATAAATCCTTTCTCAAAGTGTGCGCACAATGGCTGAGATTGGCCTTGTTGCCGGCGTCCCCTCGAGAGAGTTGCTGCATCGAATGAGGAAACACAAAGAACCAGGTATCCAAGCAGACCTCCAAGGTATCCTGAACCATGGAGACAACCATATGCACGATATCCAGGTAAATGTAAATTTCACAGGTCGCGCAGTAGGGATCGCAATAGACCCTCATTCCCAACCCCTCCAAGAACTGGTGCCAGTGTTGGGCCGCTGCAAAGGGCTCCAACCCCGAATGCAGACTCAAAAAGTCGTCAGTTAATTAGGGCAGAGAGAAAAAGTAATGGACGAGGATAAGTCAGTAGTAGCAGTATCTCCTACACCAGAGGTGCGATTTACTCTCCCTCGTATGGAGTCTGCACAGCACACCCGAACTGCAGGATAGCCGCCGCCGCCGACCCCAAAGCCGGCCGATAAACCCGTTGTAATAGCTGGCAGAAGAGGAAAGCTCGAGCTTGAAATCCAAGAAGCAACCGAAAAACTCTCCCTTTTCCAGAAGAGGAGAGATGAAGCGGCCAGGACCAAGGATCACACCCTCAAATCGGATTTGGAATACTACGCCATACCGAATATGGAAGCTCGGATCGAAAAGCTGAAGCAAGAGCTGAATCCATGGGTTGACGATTACCAGCAGAAGAGAGACGATGAGAAGAGAACGGCTACTGCTTCCGCCTCTGCCAATACCGAGGCTGAGAAGGGGCAAATTAGCCATAACGCCGAATTGCAAACAGACAGCGAATCAAGCAGCGAGGAGGATGAGCCCGACGAGTCCGAAGCAGACATGGACATTTATGATTGAGTGACCAACTGGTTTATTTTATAACCCGTTCCCGTACACCTTTATAGTTAGGGGGAAAAGGACCGGCCAGGCCACTAAGGCCTATGCAGGTACCCTTGTGGGCATAGAGCTAGGGGGAAATAGAAGCAATCGAGATCCAACAAGGATGACCTCGACAATGCTTCAGCCCACCCTGAGTCGGTACAGTTGATACAAGCGAACCCGAGGAGAAATATGATGAGGCCATCACCCCGCTAGGTGAGGCCGACAGAGGCAGAATCAGACTCTGTTTGTCGTGGTCACCCACCGCATAGCACTTACGACCGTAGAGCCAGCTTACCGAAGATCGACAGCGATGACCCCGCGAAATGAAATGGCCAAGCTGCAATACCGATCTTTATGGCTGGGCTGATAGCTACCGGCAGATTCACTATACTATTCATTTGGCTGAGCTCGCAGTCGTACCCTATCATAAGCTCCAAAGTTCACAACACAGAGGGCAGGCCATGACCGATGCAAGCATGCAAATATCAGTTCCAACTAAGTATTAATTCTATGTCCGGGGGCGACGCGATCAAGCATCGTCCCTTTATTTACAAACCCTCTTTCCCTTTGACGGCGGCTCTCCCCAGTCATTGAGGAAGAGCGATCTCAACATGGCGTCCCGCTCGCTCGCTCCGAGCTGCCCTTGGAGGAAAACACAACCAGATCGCGCTGCTTTCACTTCGTGTGTTTCATTCGCTTCTGGAAAATTTCCAATCGCTCTGATTTTCATATCTGGCGTCACCCAGTTGAGATGCTTTCTCTGCTCACCTGCAGGAGCGGATCGCCCGTACCTTATTCATACAGACTCTTGGACCGTTGAATGACGTGCTACATTGAGACTCTCAGCATCAGCAGAGCTGCAGGGATGCTTCCAGCCGTGTTAGGTGATCACTACTGTACCCAGTCATGGGGATCGTCAGTCATACGGCCTTTCTCTACACATCAGCCTCCACCATATCAACCCGACGCCCTCACCTCTCTCGCGGCAGCATGACAAAGCTCCACCCTGATCCCCGCACCGGTAAGGACATGGATCCAAAGCCTCTGCGTATCGCTCAAGCGATCATTCTCACTCTTGACCTCGCTAAACATCACTTCTCCCCCATTCCCACCATCCACCCTCCAAAGAAACAGATCTGGTATCCCCCCGCCTCTCTGCTGATACTCCTGAGCCATCACCTTACACACGGTCGCGAGCCTCTCCCCGCCAAAACACGCGATGATCTCGCCAAGATCCTCATACTCATACTCCCAGCTCAAACCGACCACGCAAGTCTTCCTGTTGTAATGCTCGGCCCATACCCGGTTGAAGATGGCTTCGGCACCACCGTTCGAGATGTCCGCCAGCCGGGTGTTGATTTCCGAGATGCGGGTGGTGTAGAAGGCGTCGCTGAAGAGGTCGAGCGGACACATCTGGTATTCGGTTTGGAATACGTTGGGGGCGTACGTGAACAGGACGTCGTAGAAGAGGAATGCAAAGAGCGTGCGCACGATCCCGCCCTCGCTGTGGTAGCCTTTCCAGCCTAGAGAGCGGTAGTGCGAGAGACACATGGCTTCGACGCTGCATTCGCCGAAGCCTTCGTGCTCGTCGAGCCAGATTGTTTTGGTGCCTCCCTTTTTCGAAGAGGCAGCAGTCGCGGATCCGCTGCTGTTCCGGCGAGTTCCGTTCTTGGGTGGTGACGGTTCTCGCTCGATGCGGATCCCCGTGACGGTGCGTTCGAAAGGCTTGACGAGGCTGGCGTGGCCGAAATCATGCTGCTCCCGAAGTGGGATCTTGAGTGATTTTTCTAGCTTCTTGATCCGCTTCTGGAGATCGTAGTGGTAGATGAGATGGCATTCTCGATCTTGCAGACCTTCTTCACAGGTGCGAAGAGCGATCCTCTTCCAATGCTTCTTCTGCCCTTCTTCATTGCGATCTCCTCTATCGTCCGTCAAATCATGCATATAGTGTTCCTCCAGCAGCGCTTTTCGCTGATACCATGCCCCTCGCCTCGCGGCATGAAATAGTCTTTGATCCAACAGTTCTGTTAAGATTTCATGCTCGCGTTTGTGCTCTTTGAATCGTGCGAGAGGTTGTAATCCTTTATGCACGATCCGCGTGTATACCCAGGCAGGGCTGAAACGACGGAGATAAGCGCCTTCTCCGCACTCGTAGATGCGGTCTTCTTTCGCTTGCTCCTCCCCTAGCAGCACCTTCCATCGCGGGTAGACTTCCTCGAGTATGGCTTTGACACGTTCGAGACCGGCGAGGCCTGGTGTGCCATTGAATTCGAGGATGTTGTCGACCTTGAATTGGACGCGGAGACTGGCTTCGAATTCGAGGAGAAGCGCTCGAGTGGAGAATATGGTCGTAGAGCGAGATACGATATACTGCGGGAAATTACGACGCGAGATCTTGGCAAGGATGATGGTTGTCAATGATTTCTCGGTCCATTCTGTGCTGCGGTAGAAGACGAGATGGACTCGTTCGAATAGCTTGAGCGGAGCCAGAGAGAGGCGGACGCACTTTCCCGTGTGGTCGAGAATCTTGCGAGTGTAATGTGCGTCACGATTCGTTCTATGTGATGGCGTTTCTGCGCCATCACCAGTGTCGTCGTCCGATGCTAGTCCATTGGACAGGGTTGATTCTTCCGTGTCAGATCTCTGCAAGCCTCGGAAAGCCAGGCCTGACTGTTTGCCACTGGTTGTGCGAAGCGCCGTCAGAAGTTCCTTTTTGTTCCTTCCGCGTACTTTGGCTTCTTTGGCAATGGTCTTCAGCTCGTCAAGCAATAGGAGGCTGCTAGCTTCGTCCAAGGTATTGATATACACCTCTGAGCATTCCGCAAAGGAAAATCTTTCGCTAAGGATTGTTCCTTCTGGAGGCTCTAGTTCTCCTGGGTTGGTTTGGTTTTGCGTAGTCGTGGCTGGCAGCTCTCTTTCGCTCTGTAAATCTGCCACAGCTGCTTCGAGATCTGTTATGTCGGAGTGATATCCCAGTCTATTGATGCGATGCCATGCGCTTGTTTTTCTCAGAAATAGCCGGACGTAGAGATACTGTGACTCGTAGCTCAAGCCTCGCCATTGAGCAAAAAGTATCCTCTCAGCTTCGTCAAATAGGTGTGCTTCCTCATCCAACACGGTCTCGAGTGCGAGGTTAAATGCATCCACATATATTGAACTCCTTCCTCTGGTCCATGATCTGTTCTCGAGTCGGCCTTGGAGGCTCAGATCCGCAGCTTCACCGGCTTTGTACGCCTCATACTCTGCAATGGCTTTCTCATCTGCCCTAACCGGAGGCAGGGATGTCTCGAGATCTGTCTGGCTTCCTGGCAGTGGCACTCCACCTTCTTCGTCCCCGTCTTCATCCTCGGAATCTGGGATCTCAGTTTCAGGTCTTCCACTTGGTGAACGTAATGATTGTGATGATGTCTCATTGTCAGACAGTTTCACATCGCTCTGCTCACTTTGGTGCCGCTTAACTCGTTTTGGGGGTGGAGTAGGGAAGTCCTCCGAGTCATAATTTGTGGAAGGAGGATGACGGATCTTTGTGCCTAACATGCTGTTGTGTAGAGAAGGTGATTTGGCTCGAAGTGCCATGGCCAGCGGTGGTATTGCCAGCCTGCATCCCATCAACAAGTGTTAGCACGAAGTCTGGAGAACTACTGAGGGGTCTATGTAATTAAGGAGACGCGGTCCGGAGGTCCCAAACGCGCAGTCACGGGACGCCGGAAAGTGCAATTTCTAGCACACGCAAAGAGAAGGCATGGCCATCGTTCATATCTCAATGATAGTTGACCATGGAAGAAGAGGTGACGGAAGACCTTTCTCGAACATGTCAAAATGCCGGCATTTTGATTGTGAAGTAATTACGCTTCATGCTCCTGGCGTGCAGATTTTGAGAGCTTCCCAATCTAGCCTTGTACACTATCCTCCGAATGGAGAATGCCCCAATCGATACCGATCATTACAAAGATTGGCTGTCATCAACATGACAGGCCAGTGACAGGTCAGTCATCTCTGTCCTCGCTCACAATTTACCACTAGCCTTAGCATCCCGAACTTGTTCAAATACCTGATACAGATGTCAGCTTGAGAGAGCGACTACAAGGGGTCGGTAGAGGACGTCCAGCATACCTTCAGCATTTTGTTGCGTGCACCTTGTGCATTCACACCCCTGGCTTCAAGCCCTTTCTCATCCAGGAGAACCAACTCGTCCCATTTGAGATCCTTCAAGTTGTCGGTGTATTTGTGTAAACGTAGCGATCTCAACCATGTTGGAATGTCCTGAAGCAGGTTTGGATCAGTCGGATCTTCCGGTGGTTTCGAGCTTCCTCTTCTTCCTCGAGGTGAGCGACCGCGAGCCATTTCCGAATGGTCTGAGAGGTATCCTTCATGTGAGCCAGTACCATAATGCCCCATCATGCCACCCATGTTATTGCTCATCATTGGTGAGGTCCCATCATAAGCCGCCAGGAAGCCATTGTTCTGGCCTGTAGGGAAATTGAGTTGACCCATTCCAGCGCCCTGCATCGCTAGCCCAGGAGAATTGGGACGAGATCTCCTACCGCTGTGTGCTGCGAGCTGTTGTTGCTGTAGAGCAGCCAGTTGCTGTGCGTTCAGTATCTGACCTTGGTCATTCACAACAACCATGTTGGCTCCAGGAATGCCGGTGTTCGAATTACTGCCGCCCATGGCTTGCTGGATTTGTGGTTGAGGCTCGTTGGATCGAGCTCGGCGATATTTGCGGACATCATCAAGCGCTATGCGGTTGGTGACGGTGGATAAAGCAGCTAGCTTCATAGCTGTAGCATTGGCTATCATGTCGTTCTGAATACCTTGTTGCTGGGTACTGAAGTTCGCAACCATCGGTGTGTTCGACATGGAAGCCCAGCTTGAGTTGCCGAGATTGTAGGGGGAAAGAGCTGGAAGCTCGTTATGCATGTTCTCTGGTGCGTTTAAGGTTGTGTTCTGAATATTGGAAGATGCTGAAGGGGGAGGTCTTGGAGATCTGAGACCCGCAGACGGTGGTGGTTGACTGAACTGACCCATTGGCGGCTGCTGACCAGACGAAGACTTGGGTCGAACAATGGGCGGCTGAGGGTCTGCGGAACGCCATGACGAACTGGTGAGGTGATTTGGCAAATGTTCTTTTGCACTTTCTGCAGGCGCCGATATTGTGGGTGTCACGAGCGATGTACGATCACCAAAGGCTGCGCTGTTCCGGTTTGAGGGAGCATTCGCTGCTTGTTGGGCATACTCAGCCTTCTTTTGCGCAATAGCAGCGGCAGCATCTGGAAACATGGCGTTGATGGTCGATGAGTCCAGGCCAGAGTTGCGCTTGTTGCCTGGGGACGGTGGAGGCCGTCCCATGGAGTTCCTTGAGGTGTCAACGTTCAATTTGGACATGGCATCGCTCAGGCGGTTCGACATGGGGTCTAGACAGTGGTCAGCCAGTATTAGTGGCTGCAGGAGAGTTTCATCACTTGCCTTTCTCACCAAAAGTGGAGGGTGATAGGACACCTGAGATTGGATGACTGCGCGACATCTGATTGAGGACTTGAGCAAAGAAGCGTTGTTGCATCTGGGTGGTCTGCTGAATCAGGGCGTAGGTTGCTGCTGTTCTCTCTGCCTCGCTGAGTACTCGAAACCACTGCTCTATCGCACTGAGCTCGTCCTTGAAATCCTGATCCAACGTAGCAGCCGCCATTTCTTCGAGCATAGTCTCGTATTGCTCAATGTCCTGTATCCATTGCTCACCAAGCTTGTTGGTTGCATCCTCTTGCCCGTTCTGGTGTTGAGACTGCTGGTTGTAAAGAACTTCCGAGGCTGGTCGAATACTGCGACCTCCAAGTGAAGATTGGGCAAATGCCGACATATCTGCTGAGGAGCGCAGTTGATGATTCCCACCTATGGTGCGGGATGACGGAGGTCGAAGAGAAGATTTGGAGGATGCCTCTGGAGTACTATTTCGATTTCCAATAATATTGCTAGCCATGATGTCCGAAGTGCCGCGCTCCAATCGATGGTAGAGTCAAGATACGAATAACAAATCGTTGGGCTCCTGCAGTGACCAGCTGACTGGAGAGGAAAATTTGGCGGAGCTGGGCAGGAGGTCACGAAAGGTGCTCCGTCAAGCAGACAATGGACCAAAAGATTCAGATGTCCGAGCCTCGAGAATAGATGGCGAGTCTCGCACGGGGAGCCGACGACCAATCCAGTGGTCGTACTCGATTTCAGTGCGTATTCTGACACAGTTCTTGCTGGGAGGGACAGGCCTGTGATGGGGCTAAAGGAACAGGGGGGAACCCCCGGACGTGGCACTCAAGGTTTCCAACCGAAAGGATGCTTGGTGGAGAAGTTGTTTGTGGGGGTTGCCAATAGAAAGAAGATTGTACAACAACCACACTGGATTATGAGATAAAAGCATAGAATATGAAGAGGAAGAGGAAGAGCGGATAGATAGTTCCACACCAAGTTACTCCACGAATGATAGGTGGAGATGGGATCGCGATGCAGCCTGGCACAAATCATCCAGTGGCCGCTGATTGTAAGCTGCGAGTCATGGCGTCCTCCCCACCCGAGCGCCTACTATAGTACTACTAGTAACTAACTATCGAAAAAAGATTTAGCGTTTAGCCACCGCTGCCGACTTTTCTTGGCGAGAATCACTTCTACTCCGTTCATCTCAAGAACAAAGTGGGAATCTGGTGAGGTGAGTAAGGTGCCCGAGATGTAGGTTGTTGTACAGATCGCGTACTCCAAGTGTTTTTGCTTATGTGTAGATGCAAGCCACGTCATTGCTGTCTTTATCCTTGTGGTCGAGTTTAGATATATCACCTCATGGATAGCGCACTGGAGGAGGAATCTCTACATGACAGAGACGCAGGAGGCTAGAAGCCTCATTCGCTGCATAACCTAAGACGCTATTCTCACACGGTTCCAGATGGATAACGACCAAGATAACCAGGGTGATCTATCACAATACCCTGACCCTGAGCAAAGTGGTCTATCCTTTCCGTGGCTTGATCAATATCAACCTGTGGCTGCAGAATCCTTGTCTTCCAGACCGCGGCCTCTTGTTCAAGAAGGCTTTATCCCAGAAGAAGACGAAGATGCACCAACAGCAAGGTACGGTCTGAGGGGTCATCGCAGGTCCGGCATTCTACTGCCCGAAGAAGGCCTTCTTGAGCCGAGCGCTGTACTAGAGGACTCTGACGAGGACCCAGAATTTGTGAACTCGGATGTTGAATCAGAGTGAGTGTACACCTAGCAATCGTCTTATGGTGCCTTGCTGATGACGTTTATAGCCCCGACGAGAATATATCCGATGAGGCAGATGACATGGCAATCCAGGCGGGTGAAGAAGTTGATGGCGTCTACTCCGGAACTCGATCTCATACTCGAGGCCGTGGTGGACGGCGGGTCTACGGCACGCCAAATCGGCGAGGCCAACGAGGCCAGCGAGGCCCGGGAGGCCAGCGAGGGACGGGAAGGGGCAGAGGTCGGCCACCAGGTCGAGGAAGAGGCGCAACAAAAAGCCGCGGTCGTGGAGGTAAAGGCCTTAGAAGAGGACCGCGACCACCGCTTGAACCCAGCAAGGAATTTGCAACGCTGCAAAAAGAGGCAATTGATGTCTTCATTGACCAGCATGATTATGATAAGGCTCTGAACATTATACAACAAGCGATTTCCATCAACCCAGAAGTATACGCTGCTCATGCGCTCATGTCAGAGATATATTTCGCCAAAGGAGACAATGAAAGAGGAGTTGCAGCACTGTTCAGCGGTGCTCATGCCGCCCCGAGAGATGCAAACGTTTGGCACCAAGTAGCCGATGCATGTCTGCTGAAGACTTCTCTAGATCGAGAACGCGCGCTCCGACAAGCGGCATACTGCTTTGCCAGAATCATTGATATTGACCATAACGACCTCGACTCACGCTTTCAGAGAGCTGCCGTCAACAGAGAGCTTGGCTTACTCACAAGTGCCATGAGGGAATTTGAGAGAATCTTGTTTGTCATGCCTCACAATCCTAGCGTTCTTCATCAAATCGCAGAGATCTGTCTTGAGCTGGGTGAATTTGACAAGGCGAAGCAACTCTATCAGGACTGCATCTCTTTCCACGAAGCTCAGGGGTTGGATGGAGAGAACGCTTTTTCGTGGTCAGATATCAATGTATATGTCGAGCTTTTCAGCATGGAAGGTGAATACGACAAGGCCATCGCAAACTTAAAAATCCTCTCACGATGGCTTCTGGGCCGAGCAGCTGAGACGTATTGGAATGATATTACTGGAGACGACAGGGAATGGGATCCAGCGGATGAGCCACGGCGCGTCACCGTATCCCAATACGTCCCAGGAATGCATCCCTCTCAGTCCTACGGTTTTGGCTTACCACTTGAGCTTCGGGTGAAGCTGGGCATCTATCGCCTGAAAATGGGTAAAGATCACCGGTCCGAAGCGTTGAATCACTTCGAATGGCTTGAACCAGAGGACTTTGAGGCCGGTGCGAAGGTCTTTGAATATAGCGATCTATTTCGAGAAGCAGGAGAGGCTCTTAGAGACGCTAAAGAGTACGAAGAAGCGCTCCGCTTCCTCCAGCCTCTGAGGATGTCCAATGCATTCTCTGATACGGATTTCTGGCTTGCCATTGCAGCTTCGTCCTACGTTTGTGGCAAGCTTGGACAGGCACGAGAATGTTATGAGCTCGCCAAGGCATCTGATGAGTTTTGTGCAGAGGCACGTACGCAGCTGGCGAAAATCTACAAAGACTTGGGTCGTCGCGCCGAAGCTTTGAGGAACGCCCAAGAGGCCTTGGAAATCGGACGAAGAGCGATAATCCGTCCACAGAGGCGGAGATATGAACGTAGAGAAGCACGCGAGGCCAGAGAGGCTGCCGAGAGGGAGTTGAAGGAGGGCCACCGGTTGGCTATTCCGAGTCTTCAGACCACGACTGCCAGGCTCAAGCCGATCGAGGTCAAAGATGCCCAAGGGAGGTATCGATTGAGTTTTGTCAATACATATCCTGGTCGTGATTCGAGGCTCGAGGAACGAGCAGCAAAGCGCCGGAAGATGCAGCAGATGTCTACTGAGGAAGCCGAGACTTACCGCACGAGCAATGTTCAGTCTTTGTTCTCGAAGTTACAGGAATTGACTCCTGCAATGAGAAGCGGCGATCTAGTAGCCAGAAACACCTGGCTCGAATATGCTGACGACCTGATCCACGATTTCAGGTCGAATAAAGTTTTCTATCCGGCTGAACGCCACATGCGGTTCGAAGGATATGACATGGATTCCAAGCGCAGAGCTTTTCGGAAGCAATGGGCAAAGGGCGAGGACGACAGCTTTGAAGCTGCTTCTGCGGAGCTCCATGACGATGGCACACCATTACCTTCCATCGAAGCTTCAATACCTATTGAATATCGCGGTATTTTATTTGACACGTGGCTAGACATTTTCCTCGAGCAGGCTTTGACATTAGCTAAGCTGGGAGACGACTTTCGAGGCCACTCTTACGAAACAATCACGGCCGTTCTTGACTGCACGATATGGTATCATCAGCCAGCATCTATGTTAAAGACGTACGTTTGCTACTTCACGTGCGCGTTGGCACTAAATGATGGAGAAACCCTGTGCAATGTTATTGCCCGATGGTTCATGAAAGAATACCAATTTGTGACCGATGCCTACCGCCTTTTTGCAACGCTCAACATGCTCTACAACGGACCAATCGAGAAAGGAGGCAAGGACATCCAGATTAAGAATGCTCCTTTTCGACAAGGCGCATGCCAGAAGTTTTTGTTTCGCTCGGTCAAAGCGGTTGATCTCTATCTTCCACGCGAGTATAACCAGGATGGACTTGACGGACCTGTTCCGCAGTTCGTTCGAGACGAGCAGAGAGACAACCCGGAAGCTGGAAAAGCCCAACTTACATCGAAGAATCACGAGACAGGAGAAACGGTCTTGCCACAGGAGATCGATATCGTGCTTCTATGTCTATACGCATCGATCATGTACACTAGCAATAGCTTCCCAAATGCATTACACTATTTCTATCGCGCATACGCTCTGGACCCAAAGAATCCCATGTTGCTGCTGAACATGACTCTTTGTTACATCCATCAGAGCTTCAAGCGTCAAAACGAGAACCGACATCTCTACATCATGCAGGGACTTGCGTTCTATCAGGAATATGCTGATGCTCGTTTGGAGAAAGCTGAAAGTCATGGACAGCAAGCAATCCGAGAGGCCGAAATTGAGATCGAATTCAACCGAGCCCGCATTTGGAACATGCTCAATCTGACAAATCTGGCAGTAGAAGGTTACCGGAAAGCCATTGACGCTTCCCGCAAGAATAGCAAGCAGCCTAATGCCAGAGTATCATCGGAGGATGCTGGTTTAGCCATGGAAGCTGCATACGCTCTGCAGACAGCTTACGCGCTAAGTGGAGATATGCAAATGGCACAAAGGATTACGGAAAAGTGGTTGGTGGTCTGATATAGGGTAAGTTGATATCACAGGCAGAAGATCCGAATGCCTCTCACACTTCCATAATAGTGCTTGCAATATCTAGCCGCTTGTTGTTTGTCTCGATTTCTCTGCCTCTTTCTGCTTCGGGTACCAGTGACTGCTATCGGTGAAGCAAAACAACCGAACTATGGAGTGACTACCTATGTGAATCCCCATTGTCCCCAATAAGGGGTCGAGCTCATCCGCAAGATGTGACTTGAAGGCGTCAAATGGGAACAGTCATCACTCTCCCTCATATAGAGGCAAAGTCTAGCATGGACCTTATTATCCTGCTCGAAGGATTCCGCGTTGATGTCCCTGACGACAAGATACTGATAGCTAAAAATACAAGCCATACCCTAGACTTTTAATCCTTATCTCTACCTCTCCAGGCTCTGATAGTCCGCCGTCCAAACAGACAGAGTATGCAGTCGCCATGCTCAAACCTCCGACTCACTGGTCTTGTCAGCCTTTTCGTTTGCATCCTCGCCTTTGGCATTAACGCATACACCAAGCAGGCTTCGAGACATGAGGAACAGGTGTCTCCATACAGTTCATTGTCCGTACTCGTTGGAGCGCCAACCTCTCCTGCACAGACTCGTTCGGAAGCAATCTCCCAGCGCAACACGCCTCTTCCAAGGCAGCACACCCCACCCCTCTTTTCACATGGCGGAGTATTCCAACGCATGACCAGAAGTACCATACAGTCAGCATGTCCAAGCCCAGAAGCGGTAGCGAGAGCCGCACCGCCATACTCGAGCGAAAACAAGCACGGCCGCTTTCACCGGCACAAGAGAACCCAGATCCCGAAGCCGGATAACAATGACACCGATAACGACGATGACAATGACCCACCCCTAACCCCGTCACAACCCACCCACAAACCGCCCAGCACCCTCCAAACAAGCAGCAGCACCACTACCACCACACCATCCCTCCCCGACAATAAACCTTTCAAACTGCCCTCCCCACGCACCAGCACCAGCACCAGCACCAGCACCAGCGCCAACATGCGCGCCTCGCAACCCAGCAAACGCTCACCCGGCCACACCGACCCGTACTCTGCCTTCTACGGCAGACGAGACAAACGCATCAGCCGACCAGCCCTCATCATTCTAACCCTCGGCTCCATGATGCTCCTCGGACTACTCCTGTATCTGGGCTGGATGGTGGTGTGGAGAGACTTCGGCCTGGATGTCCTGTGGGAGGAGTTGAGGATGCGGAGTGCTGATTGTTGATCTGTCTGTCTGTCTATCTATCTATCTATCTAGATGGGTATTACATGAGAGCAGAGAAGGGGAGTGGTGTAGTGTGCTGTGCTGTACTGTGGTGTTGAGTGAGAAGTGTTGAAGGGGAGATGCAAAGCCAGCCGCGAAGGGGCAGATGGGGGAAAGCAAGGGATGCGTACATGCACGCAGCGAGTGTGTTTGAATCATATAATCGACGAGCCGACTCCTCATGTAGCAAGCATACTAGTAGCGTTGAGAATTAATGCCAAGGGGCCCGCCCGGCTTGTGTGCGGAAAAGGCCTGCCTCAGCACCTTCTCCTCCCGGAACTCTCCATGTACATTCAACTAGTTACTTAGATAGATAGGCAGGCTAGACGCAGCCCGGGAGGCCTTATTTGGTTCTGTAGTAACCCCATCTACTATTGTTGGACCAAAAGGACCGTGGCCCTCAGAGGACCGTAAACTAGCTTTTTGTCTGACAACTATACATCAGTGTTACTATTCAGCATCTATAAGTGAGTGAGTGAGTGAGCGAGTCGTAGTTCTTTGGTTGGTTGGTTGGTTGGTTGGTTGGTTGGTTGATTGAGAGATCCATGCGATTGCATCCGTCCATGGCCCTCTTCTTCTTCTTCTTCTGCTTCTGCTTCTGCTTCTGCTTCTGCTTCTGACGACGATGAGGATGAGGATGAGGAAGTGCACGATGTGGGATGTGGATAGCAAGATAGGGACCGGCGGGGATTGATGTGCGGAGCTTGAGTTGGTATCTGTGCGAAAAAAAATTATAAAAAAAATTAAAAAAAATAATTGGCCGGTTGAATGAAGGCTTCAGCACGTGCACACACGCGCACACGTACAGGAAAGGACACTCGGTGGGAGCAATGAATGGAAGGAGGAAGGAAGGCTAGAGAGACGGGAAAAGAAACAGCATCAGCAACAGTTTATGTAACCAGATTTTATCTTTGACCTTGAAGTAGATATTCGCCAACCACTGGAACCACAAATCGATCATACCTTTCGTCAACCTCGCCAGTCTGAACCAAGCACCGGGGCATGAGGTACATTCGATCGAACTCGATCTGGTGAATGGATGTGCATGCTTGAGCAACACTCCCAAGTGGAAGGCGGATGGGAAGTAGCGAGTGAGGATTCTGTAAACTTGTATACCAGGGAAACGACTGTGTATCTACAGCGGCGTATCTACTATCCACCACTCTATCACTTTAGGCCAACTTCGTATAGGTGATTCAATTTCCAAGCTCTTCAACAGGTCCTGCATCTGAAAGGGAAAAAAAACACGCACAGAAAACTGAGAAATGTAAAGAACGACACCACAGACCTGTCTTCTCTAGTCCGTGCCGACACCCTTCCTCACAACCCCGGTAAGCGAACCCTCAACGTTGGCAATGGCGCTCTGTAACGCGCTGGTCAAATCGATATGGAACAGTGGTCGGTTCAATCCGTGCACAACCGCCAACTTCTTCACTTCCACCTGGGTGTAGGCTTTGCTCTTGGACAGCTCCCTTTGTAGATCCAGTCCCTTATCATCATCACTGCTACTACTACTCGTCTCGCCACTCCGATGGATCTGATCGGTCGGGTGGCCATTGGCGGAAGTGGTCCTGCCGCTTTTCTCAACATCCAGGCTACTCTGTCGTCGGTAAACGTTGCGATTCTCCTGATGTTCGGCGGCAGCGGCGGCGGATGAGGAACCCCCAATCTCAGCGACGCTGAAGATGGGTTTCCAGCGGTGGTACTGTTCGGCTGGAAGGGTGGGGTAACCGAAGCCGGCGGAGGCAAGGGCACGCTTGGTCCAGCGGTTATTGATACATGCGACGTGCCACTGTACGGCATCAGGGGCGGCATAGCGATCAAGTTGATTGCGGACGTCGATAAGATTCTGAATCGAGGTGACATCAACGTTGTTGACAGAAGAGAAGTCGAGGATGATGGCCTTCAATGTGGGGAGGTGGCTGCGGTCCGGGTCGTGGCGCCCACGTCGAGGGCCTGGGTTGTTCCAGGGCCGGTCCCCGAGGCGCGGGTAGCTGTCGGGGTTGGTCCGACGGGTTTGTTCGAAGATGGTGCTGACCATGTGATCAAGATAGTGGTTGGCATTAGGGTAATTGAAGCCTTCGCTGAAGCGATAGATGAAGATGCCGGGATATGGAGAAACGATGTCGATGTGAGGATTCGAGCCATCATTGTGATTGATGGGAAGGAAGATGTTGCGGAAGCCGGTGTCAGCATCCAGACTCCCCGCCCCGGTTTTCTGAAGGGTGCCGTGTTCTTGTCCTTGGGTGGGAGATCTTCCCGCGTCAGAGACATGGTCACCGACCACCGAGTGGATCTGGACTTTGCCAAGAAATCTCCCATTCGCCTTGACGACACGGAAGAGAAGGACGGCGACACTGAGACAGATGGTGACATAGACGCCATTTTCAATGTTGGTGAAGATAGTGACAAAGACACCAGCAAAGAAGATGACGACTTCAAAGGGAGAGACGCGCCAGAACTGGTAAACAGTGTTTGGCGGAGTGATGAGATCACCAACCGCGTGAATAATGACAGCTGACAGTGCAGCGTTGGGAATGTAGAAGAACACGGCCGGTAAAGCGTAGATTGCAAGCAGCACGAGCAGAGCGGTGATGACCCCAGCGAAAGGTGTCCGCACGCCAGCCTTGGATTTGATGGCGGTGCGTGAGAATGAGCCAGTCGCCGGATAGGCTCCGAGGAAAGGACCGAGCAGGTTGGTAACACCAATCGCAACCAGTTCTTGAGAAGGATCGATGGTGTAATTGTTGATGCGCCCGAACGACTTGGATATGGCGATATGTTCGATGAGAAGAACGATGACGGAAGCTGGAAGCTCGCTGATAAAGAGTCTGACGATGTCTGTATTGAGGGTGGGCACGGCGGCATTCTGGAACCCACGAGGAACCGTCAGAACAATCCCGAATCGGGGGTTGTCCCTGTGGTGGCGATTCGCTAGCCAGCTGATCAGGGTGTAAAGCAATATAACGAACGCAGTCCGAAGCGTCGAGATGAAGAAAAACGTCTTTGCCCGGTCAGGCTTACGTTGTGCGAGGGAAGTGCAAGTAAAACGATAAGCATAGAGTAGGAACAATGCTGTGAGTCCGAGCGCGGCATCGAGTTTGGTGTCCGGAAGATGCTTGAGGGTGTTGATGACAACTCTGTAGGTGGAAGCTCTTGTATCGAAGCCCCTGATGCCCATCAAATTGGGCACTTGGCCAACGGCAATGTTGATAGCAGAACCTGTCATGAAGGCAGATATTGCAGTCAAAGAAATGAACTCGACGATCCAGCCGCAACGGGCAAGTCCAATGAAGACAATAATAGCTCCAGCGACGACAGATAGAGCGGAAGCGACGACATGCCCCGGTATATCGGGGTTTGTCTCTTCAGCTCGGAGCACAATCTTGCCCACCAGAGTGGACATTACGGCCACAGGCCCAATGGTGATATCCTTGGAAGTAGCGAAGAACCAGTAGATGAGGACTCCCATGAACGACGAGTACAGACCGAATTGGACGGGAAGTGCGGCGAGCCTGGCATAGGCCATCCCCTGGGGCACCACCACGAAGCCCACAGTGATGCCTGCCACAAGGTCGCCAATCAGCCATTGTAGATTGTAGCGGGTGATCCAATGGGTGAAGGGGAAGAGGTTATGAGCATATCGAAGGAGATTTGAGCCGCTTGGAAGGGTCTCTTTGAACCATTCTAGGGTTGTCGGCTCTCCTTCAACATAAGTATCGGCTGTATCGACTGAATAGGTAGACTCTCCTCGAGTCATCGACTCGGAGTTATAATACGGATCGCGCTCGTGGACCTTGATGCGAAGGACCTTGGCCACTCCTAGCCAGAATTTGGTAGACGTGCTGGACGACATGGTGTGTCTCAATTATCGATAGATAGCTCAATAAGGACAATGCCTGACTCTTGGCGTGGAAGTCGTCGGCCGGTGAGCGACCACGGCGTAGCTGTGCAGGGTCAAATTGAGCTCATGACAGCCCTAGACAGCCGAGTTTACAATCAAGTGCTAGGATGTGGTATGGATGTGGAAGTCTGGGAAGAGGAGTTGAAAGATTATGATGGAGAAATGGCGGAAGGGAAGAATGACTTTAACAAGGAATAGCCAAAGGAGCATACTTAGTCAGGCTGTGACAGGGATGCTAACCTTCGCGGTAACGTGTGCCTAAGAAAGGAGTAGATCAGCTCTTTCAGATAAGAATCGGCCTGAAACGCAAGTCAAGCAGGTAGACAGAAAAAAGGGGATACTCGTTGGGTGCCAGGTCTATGGGAAGTTGAGCCACGGAAAGTTGCTCTTTGGTAATGGCCATGGGTATGGGAGCTAATGACGTGTATGCGTGCTCGATTTTGAGTGACCATTTCTGGATGGATCAGGTTAGCTGCCGCATCGAGAAATTCCCTCCCCTGGATCACGTTGCCAGGGACAGGGTTGACAACAACTGTCATAAAATCATAGGAACCCTTCGATCGCCTAGCAAGGCCCAATCCCAAAGCTCAGGTAAGGTGCGACATGTGCCCTGTATGGGAGTATTGCCTGGAAAGGGTGCGAGACTGTGCTCACACACGTGCTGGACGGTCGAGAACAAAAGATATCTGCGTAATTATGCGCGAGTAGTATAAAGACGATCAAGCGAGCAAACTTAACTGCAGGCCCTTGGACGTGAACAGAGATTTCCCCTCCCAAGCTTGGATTTGGTTATTGTCATCGGCCGATCGATGAAAAGAGGGTTCTTACTACGTAGCATCGTATGCCATATCACTTGAGCAGGAGAAGCGACTTGGTCTGAATTTTCCACAATGCTGAAGACGTGATTTGACGATGACTGCACAAAATGCTTAGTCGAATAAGAGAGCCCAACTACCTCTTAGTGAGAACTTAGTCGGTATGTAGTGCAGCGCATGGGACAGGCTGGTAGAGCAGGTTGACGCATACCCTGGTCGTGACTGCGGAGAAGCTTACTACGTATGCTGTCCCGCGATCGCTGTGTACTTGGACGGGTCACAGGAGCACGAGAACAGCATTCGCCAGCCAATTGATCCTGCACCGACAGAGGTCCATCGGCCTCAGCAGTGAAGTAATCGAGATCCGAATTGGTGGGTGTGGACCTCGAGTGTATGTTGTATCCAGGAAATCAACCTAGCGGGGATACTTCTGGGGCAGACCAATCGGGGTGTCTCATATGCTTCCGACGTGGACAGACCTTGCCATTGCTCGAGCCGGGCTAGTTTGAGCAGGAAGCACCAGGTGCAGAGTAACAAGCACTCCATGAAGCTTATCTCCTGCAAGCACAGATCATGACACACCGACATGGTCATGGCTTATCTTAGGGTCATGGCATCATGGTGACAGTAGTGCTGCGAAAAGACAAGACGCCACCCAAGCAGGACATGGTTGCAAGTACTGATACACCACGAGGAACTTCTGCCTAATTTTGATGTCGATGGTGAAGAAGGAAGTACGAAGTACGTAGTATGAGCATGAGGCAGCATGAGGCAGCATGAGGCAGCATGAGGCGGCAGGAGGCGGCAAGAGGCGGCATTAAGCAGCATCAGATCCTAGTGTAGAATGCGGAAGATGTCACTGGGCAGCAGTGTCGGCTCAAAGCGTCAATCGGTGGTGTGTGTAACCAAGTTACTACGTAGTATGTGGTTGCAAGCGAAAATAATGTATGTGATGCACTAGGAATTTTGGTTTTCGCTAGTATTGTTGTTATCTTGACATAGTGTAGGGAGCACCCCGTAAATGACTTCTTTTCCCATAGACTTCGTCCCTTCTTGATCTATAAGTGTGTAATGATCAGTATAGAGATAAAATGATCCCTTATTGATTGTACTTGTTTTAGTGGTCAATCAGTAATCATATCACGTTGAAGTAACAGGTATTGTAACGGTACGTAGTACAGACAAATTTGTCTTGACGCCCCACATGCATTACTTGCATCTGTAACCATACCATAGTAGTTAGTAGAAATCCTACTACGGTACCAGGCAGAAGTATCCATAGCTCGGCGCTAGTATCTCCGCCAGAAAACGGACTACAAACGAACCAGCTAAGCCTTAAGAAGCTAAGTGGTACTACTATAGCCAATAATTATGGAACATTCTCCAGGAAGCTTCTAGACATCAATGTGGCGCTGTATCGGAACTAGCTGTTACTAGCACCGAGCTATGAATACTTCTGCCCCCTACCGTAGTAAATACAAAGTTCGGATGAAATGACTCGCAGGTGCCAAGGCCCCTCATGGTGGACGGTTTTTTGCCAAGCTATCTTGGCAGGAACTTCCGCTCGCACACCCGCACCCGTATCCGTATCCGCATCCGCCATAGCTTCCCTTCTGGGCTTCTGCTGCCAAGTGGTCAAGCTGTCAAGCTGTCAAGCTGTCAAGTTGCTCCAAGCTGTTCACCTCTTTACCTGGGAGAGTAACGCAGTCGGCGGTGTTTTTATCCCCTTTTCAATGACGAGCATCAGCGCAGCAGCAATCTGAGCAAAACACTCCTTGGGTTGGAAGTTCACCATAGTCTTGGACAACGCTCCGCAAAAATGGCAGAGACTGTGAATCCCGTCGAGATCACTCCACAACCACCTTCCAACACCGCACCCTCGGCCCCTACTCCGTCGCAGCCAACACAGATCTCTCGGATATCATCACCAACTCCACATTTTTCCGCATCATCAAATCTACCACCACAACAGCCTCAACAGTCTCAACAACCCCTTCCCCAATCACCAGTCCCCACCATGCCCCCGTCAGTCCAACCTCAATCTCAGTCCCAACCACAACCCCAACCACAAACTCCAAACAACAACCAATCCACCACCACCGCCGCCATAGGCTCTTCCTACCCTCCCCGCGCAGCTCCCGGCGCCCCGGGCCGCAACTACCTCAACACTCACCTGGCACCCTACCTCCGCACCGGCATGACCAAAATCCTAGACGCGAAGTCAGCATTACCATCTCCTACCCCCTTCCCCCTCTTCTAACCCGTCAGTAGGCCACAGTACCCCCTGCGCTGGCTCGGCGAATACCTGATCTCGCAATCCCTGATCCACGAAGGCGCTACCGACGAGAAAGGCGTGGTGGAGCGCTTTATCTACGACGAACATGGCGCGGCGGTGAAGAGGTTGAGGCCGGAGAGTACGATCGCGGCAGTGGGTGGGTCTGACCAGATCATGGGGGATGGTGCGGTCGGCGGGGTCGCGGTGGAGACAGGAGAAGCAGGGAGAGAGGACACCGAGATGGGCGGGAGTTGAGATGCATGCGTTTGGGACTTGGGAATGGACTAAACTATCATTTGGATGGTTGGACGCAGATTCTATTAGCGATCATAGCGATTGGAGAAATGGCGTATACCAGCAAGAATATGACATAATACAAGGAGGCAAGGACACAAAGCAACCTGGTCCTTGCAGGAATCTCAGTGCGATTTCTTGCATACGAATACAAACACAAGAATTCAAATGACCAATCATTCACTTCGATCCAACGTCCATACCCTCTATCCGATCCTGTTTGACATTATACCACCCTTCCACCCCCAAAATCCCCCCCTTTCCCTCCGTCACCCCTTCCTCACCGTGATCTCCATCCCCATCCGCACCCACTTCCTCAGAATCCATACTCCACCTCCTTACCGCGCGAACGCTCAACTCGCTCCTCCACCCCTCCGCCCACATCTCCATCCCGCACCAAGCAATCATCGCCGCATTATCCGTACACAGCTCCACCGGCGGGAAACACAACTCCACATCCCCATAGCCCCTGACATCCAGAAACCGCCTCAGCACATGGCGCAGGTAGCTATTCGCTGCCACGCCGCCACTCACCACCAACGTCCTGATCGGGGCGGAGCGTTTTAATTGTTCTTCCTTGCGGAGTTTCTCGAGCGCGAGTACCGTCCGGCTGGCAAGGTGGTTGACCGAGCCTGTCAGGGCGGAGCGAGCGAAGGCGAGGAGTTCAGCCGAGGCGAGTTGCTGGTCTGGATGCGATGTGTTGGTGCGAAGGTGGAAGAGCCGGTGCACTTCAGAGGCGATGCCTGAGAAGCTGAAGCGCAGGTGCCGCGTGTCGGCGTAGGGGGTTGGAATGTGCCAGCCGTATTGGTTGGAGGTGCGGATGCACTCTGCCCCGCGGGTGGAGGGGGGTTGGTAGTCGGCGTAGGCGGTTGGGGTGGGAAAGGCGTATGTGGAGAGGTGTTTGGCGTAGGCTATGTCTTTTATTGCGGCTTGAAGTGTGTCAGGGAGGAGCAGTCGGCCGATCTTGTCGAGGGCCTCGCCGATGGCTATGTCTTGGCTGGTGGCTAGGGTTTTATGGTCAATGAGACCCTTGGAGTGGATGAGCATGGTGTGCCCGCCACTGATTAGGAGGCTTAGGAATGGGAACTGGGGCCGTATGCTGGAAGATGTGGACTGTGGACTGAGAGCGTGGACGAGTCGAGGGGTCAGGGCATGCGCCTGCATGTGATGGACTGCAAGAAGTGGTATTTGCCATGCCACAGCCAGGCCCTTTGCTGTATTGAGACCCGTGGAGAGGTTGCTTCGCATCCCTGGGCCGCGGGTGACGGTGATAAAGTCCGGGACACGCTTGAGAGTGCCATTTTTCAAACTGATTGACCGTACGCTGTGTTCTGTTGGTTCAATAGACGCTGTTGGAAGCGCATGTAGAGACTTGTTTACGAGGAGGGCAAGACTTCGGGCGTGCGAGTCAAGAGCCCGGATTGGGTCAATGCCTTTCTTTCCATTATTGTCGGCGGTGATGTGTTCGTGGAAGTGAAGAGAGGCGATGCCATTCCCTCCGCGCTGCGAAGGATGATGGTGTTTCTCAAGGACGGCGACTGATGTATCGTCGCTGGATTGGTTAGTGGAGATTGTGCAAGCGAGGCGTCGACCAGATTACCAAGATGATTCAATAGCAAGTGTCAACAAGCGTCTTCTGCCGAGGGATGAGTGGTGATAGAGGTGCTCTGATGGGAGATTCCAAGTTGGTAATCGTAGGCTTTTCAACATCGACAAACGGCGTCCTGTGATTACATATGTCAGAAATGTCTCTACGCTGCAGGATATTGGAGATCTACAACAGCCGATGTACTCCGTAGTAAATATGTAAAACCATGCGACGTCAATTTCTCTGGCTTGGGTCTATTACGCTTCTCCAGAGAAGCACTCGTCTTTGCCAGATGCTTATGTCCATGCTTCGATGCTATTTGAATATCAACCTGCTGTTCAGGCAGTTAGCTTTGTGAGCTCTGTTTACTGCGATGCAACGAGGAAAATTCGAGCAATCCGCAACCAAACTCCCTGCTGCAATATGCTGTAATACGACGCTCCCAAAACGAATGCGCTTGGGTATATGATGCAACGCTAAAATGCCTGGTGTTCTCAACAACTAAGCCCAAAGGTTGGAAGCTCAACCTCCTTCTCTAGTTCCACCACTTCGTTGAAGTGCTGTGAACTGTTTCCGTAGTTCAACCCAGAAGTCTTTGCCATTTGCCATCAAATTTGCTGTCGTTGGTCAGTGGATTCCCGAGCGTCCCAAAGCCTGCAAGACATACGTTTAGACTCCCATGGCGTAGAACCGGAGCGACGGCGCGGATGCGGTTTCTCGGCGGGTTTGTACATCAACGGCTGAGGCTCCACGAGAGACTTCATCGCAGACTCGACTTCTCTGGCATTGTAACCAATTATAGGTATATGCTCCTGTGCCACCGGCGTTGACTTTGTGTCGGAATGCTGCGCAGTGGCCAGTCCTTGCCCCCAATCTTTGCTCGTCCTCTGCCCTCCTCCATCACCTCCTTTGCTGCTGGGTTGCGGCTCCTTTTGTTCATGTGGATCTGAGCTCGGTAGGTGAGAAGCGGGTAACCGGTTTTGGGGCCTTGCGCTCGACTTGGTATGCCAGACCCCCCTGTTGTTGCCCGTGTCAAGTTTGGGATCATCAAAATTGGTGGCACGCAAGGCGCCGAAAGTATTGAAACATCTTCGAAATATGCTTGGACGTACCGATCTTCATTCATGACTACTTGCACCTCACACGGGACTCTCTGTCTCGTAGTCACCGACCAGACTCAAGATCTGCTGAAGCCCACCAGCATCGTAGTACTCCGTACAAACATACAAATACAGGGACTGCTAGCACCCTAGCAACACTAGCATCCTACCACCACTACTATCTCCGCAGCTTACATAATGGGCACTCGCGGCAGTGAGAGGTTAGTCTGCATCTAGCATAGTGGCTGTAACTAAGTTAGGGGTGGCACGCTAAGCCGCTAGACGTCCAACATCCCCAAAGACTCAATAAAGGGCAGCTTAAGGAGGAGAGGACATGGATCGCCATGGCTCTGTAGCGTCTAATAGGCAGACAATGCACTTCATACATATCCGCTGTGACCGTGAGAATCCATCCAACAGCTTGACCTATGTTTCGTGGCCTAGAGTAACATTCAATCTGCTCCCTACTGGAAGCCCGCGCATGCGCCACGTCCTTTCTAAAACGTGTAACTCGATAAACACAACCCATCCTCGATGAGGGCAGACAAAACACTCGAACATGGCCCCACTCAAAGACGGTCAGGCGCGCATTCATCCAAGGCGCGCACCTCCAAAACTCTCCACTTCCTTGGATCCCTTCGAAGATGAGGAAGCCGCCAGCGACATTGACCTCGAACCGCCTTCCAAGAAACAAAGAACTGCTCGGTCTTCATTAGGTAGACAAAAGTGGATTCCTGGTGGTCGAGGCGGAGGTGGACGTCACATCGAGTTGAATGGTAGTGAAGTTGAGGTTCAACCCGCAAGAAGTAAAGACGGGTGTTTTGAGCAGAAAGCAGCACACAGCAGGCACGATACGACTTCGGCGGGACAACCGATCCGTACCTCATCACGCAGAACCATGCCGCGACCACAGCCACGCTACAGCACAGCAACCCCNNNTAGACGGATACAAACCCCGGGAAGAACGTGGATGGGAAGAGTTTCACCCCGACCTAGACCTAGAATCAGACCTTGCTGTAATCCCTTCGGAGCAGATTGATGGCCGCGCATTGTCCTCGGGTATACCACAAGGCGACCATGATGGCCCGAGAGATGAGAATGACGCCCAGGAAGAGGCAGTTGTGGCTCAGCCTTCACCTTTGGCGAGGAGAAGACCTGGTCGGCCGCCACGCCGTGCTGATTCAATGCTGAATGGCCTTTATACACCCAAGCAGCCAAGATTTGTTCCTCCACCTGGCCCAAATCCACGCGAGAGACTCACTTTGCCCAGACCTTCTTACAAAGAGCATGATCCGTTTCTGGAATATGAACAGAAAGGCGTTGCTCAGCAAGATTTTGTTGATCGATCAATGGCATCTGTTGGGTATCAAGAGAGCGAGATGTTTGTAAGGCCTGAACAGACGCTCATTCGGTTAATGGAAGGGTCGGTGGAAGAAGACCTCGATCTCGTCCCCGGCTTGAATCCTGAGGGAGAAAATGCGGCGATCGGTAGCACTGGTGTTGGACGCGTTGAATATGACATGGATGAGCAGGACGCGAAGTGGTTGGTCATGCTAAATAAAGCTCGTACACTAGAACAAGTGGAGAACATCAAACCGGCCATTTTTGAAATCACTATGACCAAGATCGAGAAAGAGTGGCATGCGCTTGAGAAAAGAATTCCCAGGAACGATCCCAAACCTCCTCAAACACAGAGGCCAAGATCAAGCTCCGCTGCGGCTGTGAATGGCGAACCTGGTCAAGGAGAGGAGCAAGACAGTAAGTGCTCTATCTGTGACGATGGAGACTGTGAAAATGCAAACGCCATCGTCTTCTGCGACGGCTGTGACTTGGCAGTCCACCAGGAATGCTATGGTGTTCCCTACATCCCAGAGGGCCAGTGGCTCTGTCGCAAATGTCATCTGATCGGACGAGGCACGCCCACCTGCATCTTCTGCCCTAACACAGAAGGTGCTTTCAAGCAGACCAATAGCGCGAAATGGTCTCACCTTTTATGTGCATACTGGATCCCTGAGGCCAGCATAGGCAACATGTCTCTCATGGAGCCCATACTCGACGTTGAAAAGGTTCCATATTCTAGATGGCGTCTCACATGCTTTATTTGTCTGCAGAAGATGGGGGCATGTATTCAGTGCAGCCACCGGAATTGCTATCAAGCGTTCCACGTCACCTGTGCTCGCCGCGCCAAGATGTATTTGCGCATGAAATCGGGACAGGGAGTCAACTCTCTCATGGATAAGGGGCAATTGAAGGCGCTCTGTGACAAACATGTTTCTGCAGAATGGCGGTTAGAACATGATACAGAACGAGCGACAGCAGAAGCTAAGAAGTACTACGCTCAGACCATGAAGAATCGCAAATGGGCAGACAGCCAAGCTTCGGCCCTGGCGCTGGGTCCTTCACAGCCCGAGGCCGGCAGCGACAGCGCCTCGATAATGCAAAGGCTCGTTCTCAATCATGGAACAAACAAGCGGAGCAAGACGCAGAAAGCAGTCTGGCGGCTCCCTTCAGGAGCACCAGTCATTCCAGATGCCATCTGCAAGTCGATCGAGGCGTCCCTTCAGCGCTTCATGGTTCGGAAGAAGAAGGATTTGGTGGCAGAAGTGTGCAAGTACTGGACCTTGAAAAGAGAAGCTCGAAGAGGAGCACCGCTGCTGAAACGACTTCAGCTGCAGATGGATTCTTTCAGTTCCGGCGATGTGACAAGGAGAGACTACGTAGCTCAAGGAGCTACAGGCAGATCAAGACTGGAGCGAAGAATTGAGTTTGGAGAACGACTTCTGCAAGATTTGAGCCGCTTACGGGAACTAAGTGAGATGATCAAAGAACGAGAAGCTTTGAAACTGACGGACGCCACAATATTGAAAGAGATGATTGATACAATCTACTTTCCAATCCCACCCATGCTTCGACCGATTCTTGACAGAGCTCTACAGTACGTTGACCATCGGGAATCATTTTGGTGATCTTTGCTTACATTCGCAATTAGACTCGATTCCAGAAATGTCTTCCAAGAAGGCCTAGACTCAATACGCACAAAGCTGGATACCCAATTTTACACGTCAGTAGCTGTTTTCTCCGCTGAGCTGGCCAACGTTCTCAGCTCCGACCTTGGGGTGGAGGCAGCCAACACAGCAGAATTTCAGCAACAAGTCACTGGCAAAGCTGTCGACATGACAACCGAGCAACGAGACCGGCGCAAGCTCGCGAAGCGAATTGTCAAAGCTGTCCAGCCTGCTTTGGAGGAAGCTCTTCGAAATGAGAGCGAGATTAGCGGACGTCCTTTTGAGAAACAAATCCGAGAACTTGATATGATGCTTGGCAACTCGATGTTATCTCGTCGAGAATCATATTCTGGCTCCAACAATGGAGAAGAAATGGAGCTTCAGAGCTTGCTCAAATCTTCCAACGGCCACCAGACCCCATTACCTGTCACCAGGCAGAGGGAAGGAGACGAACACCATGCCGAAGCTGCAATCGACACCTTGATCTTTGCGAACAGCAAGACAGCAGACTTACACGACGTAGATATGGTGGATGCGCCAAATGAGCCCGGGGAAGAAGTTGATGGATCCATTGCCCAATTGAACGGCGAACTTTCTGCCAATACACAACAAATCGTGGTTGAGAATACGCCTCCAGCATCCACGAACGGGGTCAAGGCAGATGGCATTCCTGAAAACACCAATCTACCAAACAACTCCAGGGCGTCTGTGCCAGAACCTCCTACACCACCCTTGAGCCTTGGAGGATTGCAGCAATCTACCTTCGCCTTTGGTGGCATACCATGGTATGTTGAGCCATTCGACCCTGATGGCACCACCGTCCACGAAGAAAGATGGACTGGTCCGGAAGTTCTGCGGGAAATGAGCGAAGAGTTGACAGATATTGATGATGAGGAGCTCCAAGGTCTTGGAGGTCCCGACTTCGATACAGACAACCACAACGTGACCACGACGATAACTTCTACGGCAGCGGCGCCGAAGAAGGGAAATTTGAAGAAGAATGGTAAGATGAGAAGACGTTGGAAAGGCTTCAAGTGATGAAAGCAATCCGGTTCAGGTTACTGGCCTTCAGATGGTCAGCATCGAGGCCAAATGCTATCATTGGCACGGACTGGTCTATCTCGAGTGATTCGAACAGCTCCTTTGAGCATTGGTTTAGCATTTCCAGGGCTGGTCATCACTGGAGTGGCGTGAAGGGCTAGACGGGTGGTCTGCTATGCACAGGTGGGACATGAGGCCTGCGGGTCGAGTTGTACGTTTGAAGGTCTTTTTTTGTATCAATATCGCGTGGTTCAGCGGCTTGGCCACTTCTGCAGAAGCAGCAGGCAGCTGCAATCGAAGCAGGATAGAGTAGCTGTCGACAACGACCCCAGATTCTGCGTACACGATTCGTGCAACTTGAATGAAGCTTTGCGCCAAGTTTGCTCCCACCAAAGCTGGAAGTGAGGCTGGAATTCCCAAGTAACTTAGGCCGTAGGCCCCGAAAGAAGGCTAGCTAGCTAGCGCATTTTCTGCTTGCAGCCCGGTGAGATTTTTGGACGAGCACAGCATAATTTCCTTTCCCATAACAAATCTGTCTTCTGCGGCTTGATACCTCTTCCAAGCTTCTAGAAGCAGGCAACTCTCTTCAACTCACTCACCCTTCAGCATCTTCATCCATAGATTATCCTGCAAGCACAGTCCACGGCTCCACCTTCGTCTCGTTGTCCTACCTCCTGTCTCTCTTGCTTTCCCGTCGCCCAACAGATCACCAACAAACGCCGCCAGACATGGCTGACTTTGAAGAAGGCAATGGCAGTGGCCGCTATGACGGTCAGTCTTTTTTGAGTGATTGCTTGCACCTGGCAAATGGAATCTAATCCGCGTCCCTCAGATGAGAGATCCTTCGACCGGCGTGACCGATCTGCTTCACCCCGTGGCGATCGCGAGGAGCGCAATCGAAGCCGATCTCCACGTGACAGACCGTAAATAATTCATGTCAAGTTGTTCGTTGCTCGACTAATCTTGATAGTCCTCCACCACCAGCAGACACTCGCATGAAGGATGCCGACGATGAGGGTGCTGTGAACACTGGCTCCAATCTCTTTGTCACTGGTATCCATCCACGTCTATCCGAGTCCGATGTCTCTCGGCTCTTTGACAAGTATGGCGAGGTTGAGAATTGCTCCATCATGCTAGATCCTCATACCAAAGAATCTCGTGGGTTTGGTTTCGTCAAAATGGTTACAGCCGAACAGGCAGATGCCGCCAAGGAAGGTCTCCAAGGTGAAGTGATCGAAGGCCGCACTCTTAGCATCGAGAAGGCTCGACGCGCTCGTCCGAGGACTCCAACACCCGGCAAATATTTTGGTCCTCCAAAGCGTGGTCAGTCAAAGACTATTTCTGTTTGGAGTTTTCTAACTCCTTTATAGGTGACTTCGGTGCTCCCCGTGGCGGCGGCCGTGGCGGTCGTTTCGATCGATATGATGATCGCCGTGGTGGCGGCGGTGGCTATGGTGGCAGACGTGACGACTATCGTGGAGGCTCTCGCTATGACACTTATGATCGCCGCGAGTATGGTGGCAGACGTGATCGTGACGAAGGATACGGATCTCGGAACATTGATCGTTACGCAAGCTCTGGCCGCGATGACCGGTATAGTGGTCGTGGCGACGAACGACGCGGAGGCGGCGGCCGAGGCGGCTACTATGAACGTAACGATGATCGCGGCGGATATGATGCTCCTGCTGGTCGAGATGATGCTCGCGAGCCTTACAGTGGTGGTCGAGAATACAGCTCTCGTGAGGACCGTTATACCAGATAACGTGGCTCGTCTCTACCGCAAGCTAAGTACGGCAGTCTTCTGTCGACCTTCACTTTCCTTCTTCACTCTTCCGTGGCGGTCACTCAAGCTCCATACCTATTTCCGATTCCACTCCTGTATCCAGAAAGCTTGTCCACAATGCTTCATCGGAGATGTGTCGAGAAATTCGGCGAGTGCGACGAAGAAGTTGTTCGCTCTGTTTCCAATCTCAAAATTCGGTCTGTTTCAGCGGTTACGGCAAGGACATCAAATTGCGGACAATCCTTCGGCTTTAGTCAACATGTACTGCACCTCGAGATGCTTTTCTTCTTCTAGCCACAAAAGAGGCAGTAAGACCACACGGGATATCAGCAGAGCGGTCTTACAAGTTTCAGCTCGATAGTCTCGCCTTTCTGCTTCAAAACATTACATCGATATGCGCGGGATAATTCGTCTTGCCCTTGCACCATAGCTTTCGAAAATACAGTAAAGCGGCATGCTCGCCCATCTGATTTCGCCTGATCTCGCCTTGATTCCGTCTGATTCCGCCTCTCAGTAGTCGTCATGCAAACCGCCAGCCATAACATCAATACACAAGGTATATGATCAATCTTTCTTGGATAATCACCATGACCATAAACGAAGAACGATTGTCAGGACGAACGCTCAGCTGCTGAAGATTCGTCCATGGCTTTTCTCTTCGCATATCATCATTATCATGATTGATCAATTCAGATACTAGGTACGTAACTCTCTACAAGGTATTAATTTGATCTTCAGGTTATAGTCTCCTGCACAAGATATAAACGTCGTGCTTTTTGCTTGGATTATTTCTGCATACTGGAAATGACTGGTCTCTTAAGAGTGCGCAGCTCAATCGGTCTCCCAAACCAAAAATCCAGGGGCCTCTGTATGTGCATCTACGACCCCTGAACAGTCTATTCAACACTCTATCACTACCAAGCTATCAAGGCTCTCAGGGCCATATACTCACGCGGTGAGGTGCACAGTCAGGCCTTTTCCTGCTGCCTACGGTTGCGGCCCCTGTCTCAAATGCAGCTTCTTTCGTACCAAGAAGCAACTATTACTCACATCCTTAATTGGTAATGTGGCCTTCCCAATCTTTTTCGAAAATGGCCAAGGAGGTGCAAAAACTCATGGGAACAATTCTGGCATAGTGTGGATGAGAAAGCTGATATCGGAGTTCTCACCAGTTCCTGGGCCACGCCTTGATCCCTTAACTCAGCAGGAAACCTTACTGGTGGTATCCCTGAACGCTGATGAATTCTCGGGGGTTTCCTGAAAAAGGCTTCCCATATATCAAATGGCTGCTAATAGGGGCATACCAGGTAGGTCAGATAAAGTATGTATAAGAATCCCTGGTTCTGCGATGGTGCTTGTCTGTCCACTATATCTCACAGTTCTCACAGTATGTGGGATGACACAAATCAGGTATCTGGGTGTAGAATATCACCAGGGCAAGAAGAGAGTGAATGCTGGTTTGATGAAACCACTTTCATTATGTTTATACCCATTCTCGGTCACCAGAAGATGAAGGGTTGATAGTGCCGGCAGCAAGAAGCGGTGTCTTTTGTGTTTCTGGGCGCGTACCCTTGTTTTGTGTTAATCCTCACTGTATAAGTCTGTAGCTGGAGATATTACCACTTAGCTTATAGATGTACTGAACA